TCTCAACGAAATACAGCAACTTCTCCGAAAAGGAGCAATTCGCCAAGTATCCCCATCTGACGGACTCCACGGGTTCTATTCTAGATACTTTACGGTCCCCAAGCGGGACGGTGGTCTACGTCCGATTTTGGATTTATGGGACTTGAATAAGTTTATTATACTGAGAAAGTTTCATATGACCACCCTTCAAAACATTTTGCCGTTGTTAAGGAGAGGGGATTGGTTCGCCTCACTGGACCTGAAGGACGCCTACTTTCATATTTCAATTCATCCAACTTACAGGCATTTCCTTCGTTTTGCTGTTGAAAACCAACTTTATGAGTTTAAAGTTTTACCTTTCGGAGTAGCTACGGCTCCAAGAACTTTTACTAAATGCGTGGCTCCTGTCTGTGCCTTCCTACGCCTTCAGGGTATACAAATTTACCCGTACCTCGATGACTGGCTGTTGGTTTCGCAGTCCAGAGAAGGATTCTTGGATGCCATCCATTCAACATGTACCTTACTAGATAGTCTGGGCCTCCATATTAATACAGAGAAATCTTCTCTTCTCCCGACACAGATGCTCACCTTCATTGGAGCCCACTTGGATTCGATGTTGGAGAAAGCCTTCCTTCCTCGGGACAGACAGCAGACCCTCGCTCACCATATTCATCGAATCCGTCGACAGGGAACGGTTACGGCGAGATCCATCCAGAGGGTCCTGGGACATATGGCCTCCTCAGTTGCCGTAGTTCCACATGCCAGACTTCGGCTTCGCCCCTTACAACTATTGTTCAACAAGGTGTATCATCCTCAAAGGGACCCACAATCGAAACTGATTCGGATCCCGTCTTCCATGCTCCACTCCCTGTCCTGGTGGCTGAAGCCGACCAATCTAGTGATGGGAGTCCCCTTCCAGGCGCGACCTCCTACGATAACTCTCGGCACCGACGCATCTCTCCTAGGATGGAGAGCGATATGCTCTGGCCTGTCTACCCAGGGTACGTGGACTCGTCTAGAATCCACGAATCATATCAACTTCCTAGAGCTATTGGCAGTCTTCAAGGCCCTTCGTTCTTTCGAAGACCTCCTTCATTATCAGATCGTTCAGATAACTTCGGACAATATAGCGACCATTTTTTATCTGAACAAACAGGGAGGGACGAAGTCACCGACCTTAGCCAGGCTTTCTATGAGAATTTGGGACCGGTGCATTCGGAGACACATCACTCTGATGGCCGTTCATCTGGCTGGCACAGACAATGTGCACGAGGATCTTCTCAGCAGGCACATCTTCACTTCTCACGAGTGGGAACTGGACCCTCGCATGCGCAACCATCTGTTCAGGCGCTGGGGATTTCCCGATGTGGACTTATTCGCTACCCAACAGAACAGGGTGTGCGAGGCTTACTGCTCGAGAGCGGGAATCGGACACGCATCCTTAGGGGACGCATTCATGATCCCTTGGAACAATATGAACTTCTACGCCTTCCCTCCGATCCCTCTTTTGATGAAGTTCGTAGCAAAGATTGTGAGTGACCGTGCATCGGGGATACTAGTTGCCCCCTGGTGGCCATGCCAAGTGTGGTTTGCGAAACTGCTCGACATCTCCCGAGGGGAGTTTCTTCATCTTCCGACACTTCTGTATCTTATAACACAAATGGACGGAACACTTTGTCACCCGGACTTGCTTTCATTGAATCTGACAGCATGGCGGATTTGATGATTGACCTTCCATTGGGGCCGGCGACGGATTCGAGAGCCTCGAATCCTACAGCTTCTATTAATTCATCGGTATCAACGATCACTTCGACCGCTTCGGCCCCGATTCTCGAATCCAACCGTGCGGGTGCTTCTCACTGCCACAATCTCTCTGTACCATCCGGTTTGAGACAGACCCCGTCGAATTCGAATCCAACGCTCTTGCACCCTGAGATTCAGCATATTATCGACGCTGCTCTAAAGCCGTCCACAAGAAAGTCATATACAGCTAAATGGAAGCGGTTTTCTGCCTTCGCTGAGTCTCATTCGTTCTCCCCACTTGTCTCATCAATTGAACAAATTCTTCAGTTCCTTCTGGAGTTGCATCACTCCGGACTGAAGCCGTCTTCTATTAAAGTGTATACGGCCGCAATAGCCTACTACCATGGCTTAGTCGACGGATCACCCCCGTTTTCTCATCCTATTCTCAAGAGATTTTTGAAAGGACTGTATAACCTTAATCCATCGATTAGACCGGTTATGCCCACGTGGAGCCTTTCTGTAGTTCTACAGGCCCTTATGAGGGCCCCCTTTGAACCTTTGGCGACTGTGGATCTCCGATTAGTTTCGTGGAAGACGGCATTCCTTGTAGCTGTCACGTCAGCCCGGAGAGCTAGTGAGCTTTGTGCCCTCCGCATCGACCCTCCTTATCTAAACTTCCACAGAGAAAAGGTCGTTTGACGTCTCGACCCATCTTTCTTGCCCAAAGTCTCTACACCTTTCCATTCAGGACAAGCCATTGTACTGCCTGCCTTTTTTTCCATCGCCGTCGAATCCCTTGGAAAGATCTTTGCACTCCCTCGACGTTCGGCGTTGTTTAGCCTTTTATCGATCGCGAATGGGGTCTATTCGGCTATCCAATAAACTGTTCATTAAATATTCGGCTAGAGATCAGGGCGACCCAGTCACTCCTCAAAGACTCTCTAAGTGGATAGTCCACACTATTACCTTGTGCTATCAGTTAGCTAAGCTCGAACTGCCTACAGTTCCCCGAGGCCATTCCACTAGAGCTGTTGCTACGTCTTCTGCATTCGCATCCGGAGTTCCGATCGATGACGTCTGCCGAGCCGCTACTTGGGCGAACCCTTGCACCTTCGCCAGGCACTACCGTCTCGATGTTCGGGCTCGACGGGACTGCTCTTTCGGTAGAGCTGTACTCTCCTCCGTCCTACAATGAGGACACCTTCCCTCCTCCTTTGATGGTAAGCTTGTTAATCTACCCATATGTGTGATGCACAGAGGCCACGATGAAGAAAAGCAGGTTGCTTACCTGTAACTGATGTTCGAGTGGCCATCTATGCAGTCACACAACCCACCCGCCGGCCCCGCTCGGTGTCGGTGAGTGGACTCATTCATCGGTACCGAAAGTGTCCCATTTTTTCTTGGTACCGATCCCTTTTTCCTATCTCATACTGAGAATTTTTCCACAAGGGGGCGTACGTTCGGTCGTCAAAGACTGAACAAATGGCGGACGCTCCGCTCTTTATAGCCCATGGGGGAGGGGAGCGGAGCTTCCCGCCAAAAACCGTTAGCTTTCAATCTTCCGGCCAAAGGCGCTGCGCAGGCGCAGCACCCACATGTGTGACTGCACAGATGGCCACTCGAAGAACATCAGTTACAGGTAAGCAACCTGCTTTTATGGAGCAGCCAACTGTGATAATCGTAAGAAGAGCAACTGTCCTTTGCAGAACCACAGGCTGGAGACACAGTAAAGGCTGTGAAGAACAGATGCTTGACTCCAGTGAACAGGATCCATTAGACAGGGTTCAGGTGATACGGCACTACATAGCAGTGAGAACCCAGCCTCTAAGCTTCCATCACTAGTTTCATGTGACAGCTTCTCCATGTACTGCCATCCAGGTATGCAATATTTTATAATCCTACAAGAATTATGAATCTAAGAAAAGGACAGTCATTACCATCTGGAGTGAATTAAAGTGGCAGCCTTTTTTTTTTTAAAAAAAGCCTTTAACTCTAACATAATTAATAGCAATAAAGGCTATCCAGTAATGAGTCTATTAAATTGTGTAAAAAGAGATTCCAGAATATGCAATTGTTGCTGTACACCTGAAATGTTTTGCCTAATCTTAATTGAACCCCAAGAGAGCTCAGAATGACCGTAATAGATTCCTAATGTATTGAGAAGCTGGAAAATGTGCAAAACATTTCAAAATTGGTGTGAAACAAAATCTTGGCTTTTACATTATAAAGTACTATATAGAGGCCCTGCTGTGTCTTATGCTTACTTTATATCAAAATTTGCCCCATTCAGCCTGCTATCTTAGATCACTGCTTGTTCTTACCTCTGGTGTAAAACAATATTCCCTGCTCAGTTCCTTCCAAAAAATATGGTATCTTCTCCCATCTTGAAGGTATCTTACCCTTATTCAGGCCTGTGACTGAAATTCTATACCATTAACTCTATACTTCTATATAGTATAGAAATTCTATACTACAATGGTTATACCATTATAACCACTTATAAAAATTAAGCAAACTCTGCATTCTTTTGTACAGCACTGAAGTTACTCCTGCAATAAATGGAAGTACCGCCACCCCTTTTGAGATTTCAGCAGGCCTCACCTATTTCATGGGAAACAGTCCTGCACTCTGTACTATATTCTGTGCACTTTCTGCACTACTGAAGAATCCATCAACTTGTCCTATAATATTTGCAATATTTAAAATATTTGCAATATTTTAGGTTCTATTTGTTTGCTTTTTCAGAAAATTGAAAGGGTGGAACTAGATAATTTGGCAATCAATGCATCTTCCTCTCCAAATGCAATTCAGCAAGGAGCTGAACCTGTACAGGAGCAGGATATATGGCTTACCCTCCCTTTGATCCCAGCTGTGACCCTGAAAAATCTGGAAAAATATAGGAGAAAAACAGAAAAAAAATACAGGAAAAATCTGCCTGGTTGAGGAAAGCTAAGCACTGCTGTACAAGAGATGCCTTCTGGCTCCCAACCACTTCATTCCATTTGGAACAGGCTTTTATAAGGTTATAATATCATCCATGACAGTCAGATCTGCACATACAGAGGCAGCATGCATTTGAATAGTGTATGATGAGAAGGCACACAATGGGTGGATTTAAGATCTTCCCAGAAATGTTGGGCAGCCAACTCCTGGACACAAGATTCTGATTCTTTGATTTCAGCAAGTCAGTAAGAATGATTCTTAGGCACCACAGCAGAGAAATAATATGTATGCAAGGCTCTATAGCCTCCCATACTCCAAAAGAACAAGATTAAATATTTGAAAATCTAAATATTATTTTTAATAAATACACCAAAGAACTTCATCAGCTAACTGTTGTTGACAGATTGGCTCAAAGTGGGTTAAGCAAGTGGGTTTGTCTTTTGTCTCCTTTGCTACATGTTGTTATTCAAATGGTTGAAACACAGGAATGGAGTCTTACAGTGTGAATGTTCTCTTGTGCACTTCATAGAAACACATCAAATATAAAAGTAAATCACTGATATTAAATCCCGTTTCTAAGTGGTTAATGTAGTCCAGTGAGAACAGCTGCTTCAAGTAGAGACACTTGTCAAATGATTTCCAAAAACAACATTTGCCTTTTTTGAAACTTGAAATTTAGATTCTTCCAAGGGATCAATCCATTTCCTATGTCTGTTTTGGTGACATGGTGCCAAGTATGCTGGAAAGACCAAGCATTTGAATTCTACCATTAGAAAATTCCGTCCTCATTTTTTTTTAAAGACAAAGATGAAGGTCAGAGCTTGAAGCCAGAATGGATGGCGACAATGCCTGAACCCAGGTTTTGATAGTCCACCTTCAGAAAGCCTGCATCTTCAATCATCTCCTTGAATGTCTCCTGAAAAGCAGCAACAGTGATATTGGTGTTAAATGATAAGGCTCTTGCATGATTTCTGAATTATTTCCCATAAACCAAGATGACACCCGAAGATTTCATTATACACAGCAATCTTGTGCATTTTTCCTCAGAAGTATGTAAGCCAAATAAAGTTGTGCTAGTTTCCAGCTAATTAAGCACAGGTTTGAAGCTTTAATGTACAGAGGGCATTTTACCTGAGTAGGAAAGTTCCTGATGCTTTCCACGAGATACTGGTAGGCCTTCCAGTCACCAGCAATAACCTCACCCAGAACAGGGATAACCTGGAAGCTATACAGATCATAGAGACTGAAAGCAAAAATGGCAGGTTAATACAAGTCTAACTATTATTTGAGGAATGTCTAATTTTCTAACAATGCCTTCCACCTAGGTTTGTATGATAGGGTGACAAGACAAGCCTTACGAATCAATTAAAAGAGGACTGTAGTGTCACTAGTCCATGGTGTGTTCTCTCAGTATCCAGCAGGCTTTCTAAATCCACTGGGAGAGGAAGCAGGGCCAAAAACCTGGATTGATTCCTCCAGTTCAACCCTGTTTTGTGATAGAAAGCAGGGCCTAGGCAGACCTTCACAAAAGAATGCACTTTTCTAGCTCTTTTCTAGTAGGATCCCCTCTCCTTTACCACTCTGTGCTGACATGTCCCAGACAAAGTAAGACTCTTTTAACATGAGAGGGAACTTTGCCATTATCCTACTTGATGTATTATCCCCAAGGTCAGACCCACAACAGTAACAGTGCAACAACTGGCAACTAGTAGTAGATGAAACTGCAAAGCTTGCTGGTGCTTGTCCAAACTCCTTTCCCTCCCTCCACAGGAATGCACCTTCTGCCTGTCTCTCAAGATGGGCAGCCATTGCCAAAACACACAAACTTTCTTCAGAGAAGTAAACAGAAACATGGAAACACAGAAACTGAGCGAGTCAGAAGGGGTCTCCTGGGCCATCTAGTCTGACCCTTGGCTCCAGCTGGCTCCATTCGCTTGACTTCCAGTAACCTATCCCAGGACTTTCCCCAGTCTGGCCTTCAGTTGACCAAAGTTGGCCCTCTTGAAGTCCCAGCATCTAGTACTTGACCTGCTGCACGTCCCCAGTCCCCTGATCTCAAAGCAAAGGATGGAGTGATCACTTGCATCCAGAGCTCCCCTAATCTGCACCCCAACCTTCAGCTCCTCCTCGTCGGGCAAGACCAAGTCAAGGATGCCCCCCCCATCACCTCTCGGACCCTCTGCATGAAAAACCCTCCCTCTATAGCTGCTAGGAAGCGACGTGACCTGGCTGTCACTACTGAGTGAGTCTCCCAACTAATATCTGGGAGACTGAAATCTCCCATAATTACTGTGTCTCTCCCCCGAGATATCCTTAGAATCCGGCCTGTCAGGGCATCATCCAGGGTCTCAAGGTGACCTGGAGGGCAATAACATACCCCCACTGTCAGGTCTCTTTCCCTGTGGAAACTCCTTCGTTTCACCTAGACTGCCTCTACCGGATCCCCTTCTGCGCAGCATTCTATCTCACTGCATCAAATGAGTGACCCCTTCCTCCTAATCCCATGGGGTACATCAATTGGTGCAGATCTGAACACTTCTTAAGGAAAATTCCTAATCCAGTGTCTGCAACTGGATATACAAGAGTGAACAAAGACCATACCCGATAGCTAGTCCACTGCAAATCACTCAAGTGGGATCAGGTACCTGCTCTTCCGGTTCCTGCTTCCTTGGCACTGTTCCCATGGCCATGCGGATCCCAGCGCCACCGCTCTTCGTAAGGCCACATGGTCTGGACAAGAGGGCTAGCAGCAGTGCCCCTTCTGGTAAGGCAGTGCTCCTATCATTGTTGGCCAGCTCAATGCACCTCTGTTCAGTAAGCCCACTTGCTAAACACCCACACGAGATGCACTTAAGTCTTAGACCATCAAAAAGACAGTTCACTTGATTGTTACGGTAGTTCTTTTGAATGGTTATCTGTACAATCACACGATACACTCTCATGTCCATCTTCCTGTCATTTATCCACCTGCGCTGGTGGTCCACAGAACTGAGCAGGAAAGACAGAAGCCACACACTTGGGCAGTGACCATGGGATGGGACTTCTATCTTAAGCTTTCTCAAGTCTAGCAGGTACCAAACAAAACTTTGCAGAAATGCGTAACTCCCATCTGTGAATGCACAGACAATCACTTGAAGAAGTTCAGTTGTAGGTAAGCAATGCATCTGTCACAGATTGTTATATTGCCTGAATGCTATTTAGTAATGGGGCTGAAAAAAGTGCAAAACCCTTATACAACCTGGAAATAAGTGAGTTGTTGACTTGACTAAATTCTAGGCAGAGAAAGCGTCCTCCTGGTTTCAGAACTCGAAAAGCCTCCTGAAGTGCCTGAAACATGACAAAAGTGAAGTGGGAAACAGTAAGCTTATTGCAGTGCTTCTCTTGGTTTAATTCTGAGCCCAGAATGCGGTTTTTGGGGGACAAATTGTGTTAAGGTTAATCAACCCGCCAAGTATCAGTAAGACTTTGCAATCATGAAGAGCACCCCCCCCCCCAAATAGAGTAGCTTCCTTCAAAGGGCAACATCAGATACTGAAGCAAAGTGGGTACAAGTGCGTCAATCTGAGTATTGCATTTGCCCATCCACGTTTGTCAGGCTACTCCCACCTGGTGTCTTAATGTAAGAAACATTTTAGGAGGACCACATAAAGTGCATAAAAGAAGTCATGGTACAGTAACAGCCCCTCCATAAACAGCTGCAGTTCAGGACAAAGAGCTGAAAAGCCAGCACTCTTTACTCCACACCTCTGCAGCTCCAAGAGACATCAGACCTACCGTTGGAAACAACATGTTGCACTACTACTTGGTCTGAGCCATCAAGGTAAACTGTTTAGAGAAGAGTAAAATTTAGCATGATCAAACCAATGGTGCTCCTGCTCACCTGGTCAATATGAGTGACATTTCGAATACCAAACGCAATTGTGTAAATGTCAAAGCTGTCATCATTAAAGGGAAGCTCTTCAGCATTTCCAAGCACCCAGGACAGTCCTTTGAAAAACACAGACGTAACAGGCCAGTGTCACACCCCAAACTACATTCAGAAAGACTGCTTATGCACATACAACATCCACCCTCATTTTGGGACTGCATGTACACACAGCCATGTTCAGAGTACAAAAGGCAACAATCCTCTCCACCGCAGCATGAGGCCATGCGCAGGAAGAGTGAGGTTTGAAAAGCCTCCATCGAGCTCCAACATCCACAGCCACAGAGCATAACTTGCCATTGCTAATGACGGGCATAACTGCATATGCACAGTGCTGGTGCTGGGGATGTCAAAAGGGATGTCTGACCTTTATCCTCCCCTGAATTTCTAGCTTGCAAGCCATTCGGCATTCTACAGCATTTACTCACGGTCAGTTATTTGATTTCTGTGGGTGTGGCTTGAACACCATGTCGCAAACCCTGCCAAAGTCCCTCTTCCCTCGGCTGTCACCACCACCAGCCATTTCAACAGGCGGCACTGAGGGAGACGAGAGCAACAGGAGGGCCATACTGCTAACCCTGCTGAAAGAATGCTTTCCTCTTCCTCCCCTATTCTTTTTTCCTTGCATATTGTAAACAGGAACTATCTTGTTTAACTGATTACACGTATGGCCCTCCAGGAGACTTTCTGCTGAGCACAAATAAATAAAATCAGATGGAATTAAATCTATCTTTTCCTTTTTTTCAAATTTGCATGTGCTTCCCGATCTTACCCATGCTTACTCTGAAATCGCCCTGAATTCTATGGAATTTATTCTAAAGTAATTATTTGCAAGATTACAGTGTTACTAGCTCATGTACAAGACTGGCTTTGCCTGCCTGCCTGCCTGCCTGCCTGCCTATCTATAGCTTTATAGATCATCCCATTACTGGCATCTCAGGACGATAGTGAAAAGAGAGCCTTTTCTGTGCTGTTTATTTGTTCCAGCAAAATATTTATATTATATCTCTACACTGACCAACAGCCAAAGGGTCTCTGGGTGGTTTACAAAATCAAAGATACAATAGTTAATATAAAACAGTCATTATAAAATCACAATAATACAATTAGTATAAAGGACAATAAAAGAATGATCCAGCCACCACAGCTGTGGATGAATCAATCTAGAGCCACAGTAGTAAAATACAGTAAACATGGAAATAGAAGTCTAACTATGAAAATATTGGGAAAATAAAAAGGTTTTTCACCTGGTGCCGTACAGAACAAAGGGTGAGCAGCTGATGACTGTCCTGGTACTGCAGAAGGAATGGGAAGGTAATCCTAGGGCTACAATCATCAGCCTAAGGAACAACAGGCTTATTCATGAAAGAACTCCAGCAAGCAAAATGGCCTGGCACTTGAACCCCATTCCAGCTTGCTCTGGCCTCAAAAAACGGATCTCGCCCCTTCCCTCTCAGCTCCCCCTTTCTTGCACATCTCACTTATTAAGGCCATGGCAGGGCCTGCCCCTCTTATTGGTTGACACAAGCTGCTTTGGCAGACAAGATTTGTCTCAAGAGCAGAATGAAGCACAGTACATAATAAGCAAGGGTGAGGCAACAGTCCATTACCTTCATCAGAGTAGCCCAGTTGTTGTGATTTCTGCTTCCCAATCTTCAGCATCTCTTTGTTAATGTCACAGACCACTACGTGGGACCCCCCTAGAGACCCATGCTCCTCTTCCTGGTAAAGGCTGGTGATCTCCTGCCACGATAAATTCTGATGGGATCTCAGTTTCTGTCGGACCTGATACTCCCACCGGGAACGAACATAATCGATAAACCGAAAGGCGATATCACCTGCATTTGTTTTAAAAGAAAGGTTCACAACTTGCAGTTTTTCTGGAGTTAAATGCTGAAATAAATGCACATTTAATTCGCATTAATGACGTGAGGTGACTTCCTCTGTACTTGCACCCTCGTTGTGGAAGGCCTTCCCTAGAAAGGTCCACCTGGCACCTGGCTGTGACCCTTTGTATTTTCCAAGGCTTTTTCATCCTTCAGCTTTATAAGCTGTGTTCATGTAATGGAGATCATTGCACTACAGCTAGCTTATATTCTATTTTTCCTTTGGTTTCATTCTGCTTAAAACTGAATGTTTTTAATATCATGTTTTATTAGGTCACTGTATTTCAGATTTTTTTGTGAACCACACAAATAACTTTGACTATTGAATGGTATAGGAATGTAGTAAAAAATCAAACAAATAATAAAAATAAAATATTTGTATTTGACTGAGGGCTAAGAGTGATGTTGCCTCAGCCTGTACATATCAGACTTAGAAACAAAGCCCCCCAATATGCCTATAAATGACACAAACATACCAGTCCCTCCAGCAGCATCAAGCAGCTGGGTTCCAGGGTAAGGGTTCATTTGGCGCAACAGGATATCCTTCCAAACACGATGGATTCCCAGACTCATTGAATCATTCATTAGATCATACTTCTTCGCCACATTTTCAAATATTTTGTAAACTGAAATTGATTTTAAAAACATGGACATACGTCAGACTCCGAGATCAGCTAATGTGTGCTGCTGGTATCTATTTTCCTTGATCTTGCTGTATTTCACAACAATTTACCTTTTGCAGGCACCCAAACGACAAAAAAGGTGGCTAAGGAGATTATCTGTCCTAACCAGCTTCTGTTTGTCAGCCCAATGTTTTCTGGCTTACAAATGTTTTATGCCTGCTCTCCCATGACCTTCATGTCAAGATACATTACAGTGCATTCAACTCCTCTTAATCCCTGTTCTTTATCTCCCACCCTTTAGCTACCCTTCCCTCCAAATCTTCTTCCCCCTTGGGCACGTCCTGTTTGCGCCATCACCACAGCATGAAGAAGTCACATGATGGCTTATTTAAGCCATGGTGCATGCTGGGCACCAATTGTCTAATTACTCATTTGAACATGACCTGCTGTATTGTGGGTTAAAGACTGTTTTTCCCTCAAGAAAGCCATGATGTTCAGGTTCAGATGACACAGGCTGCACCATGGTGGGTAATTAGGGAGATGGTACCCTGGATACATACAACTTAAATGAACCATCATTCAAAAAGAACCTGGACAGCCATCAGAGTGGGATGGTGTAAGGTGGTGTCCTGCAACAGCAGCGGGTTGGACCCCATGAGCTTCATGGCCCCTTCCAACTCGACTATTCTATAATTCTATGATAGCTTGTTTAACCCACAGGAACTGTGTGATGAATCAACACTAGAAGAAGGTAACCTTCTACTGAGGGTTATAAAACAGTAGCTGGTAAGCCATACAGAATCACACATTATTATTTATGAAAAGCATTTATAAATCAGCTTACACTTGAAATTGGGATATTTTGCCTCAACATGGGTTTCTTTACACTTGCTTACACTGAACTGATTTGTCATTTTAACATCTATTCTCCCAGTTCAAGGAGATCTTTTAGAGATCCTTTTCTGATCCCTTTCTATTTAACCATCATAAATAATTAGATGTCTTTAGCACACTTAGTGCTTCATTGTTGCACCAGTGAAGTGAACCAAGAAATAATGTTAAATAGATAAGTCAACTGCAATACTATCAGTAAAACATCAGTTTATACTGCCCATCAAATCTGGTAGGCATGGAGCCAAGCTGATCTCCCTTGGAAGAAATTCAAAGGTGGCACGCTGCTACACAAAGGACCCAGTTTGCACTACGAAGACAACTGCCGTCCTGAATTTGCATGATTTGATTGAGACCATGAAATGTCACTTTTCCACAAAGGTTTTGCTTCTTAGTTGTTAGGTTTGTTTACATAAGAGATGTGAACTAAGTGCAAGGTAACTGCCATTTGCACATATTCTCCGAATCCCCTTCCTCCTTTGTTTGCCTCCCTCACTGCCATACTTTAAGCTCTGACAGGCAATGACAAAATATTTCCTTATTTTAAAAAATTCTACACCATCTATTGTTTTCACAGAAAATCTCAAGATGGTTTACAATAAAAACAAAAAACAATTTACAGCACTTGATTAAAATAGGATTTTATTAGATATATATTAAATTCAACAATTAAAATACTAGTTAAATAAAAAAGATTTTGGTCTGGCGCTGGAAGGAATAAAGAGTTGGCAAACGACAAACCTCTCTGGGAGGCATATTCCAGCTGAGGTGCCATTCTCCTTGCAACAGCCCCCCCCCCCCTTCAAGTAGGGCTCTTGGAGAAGACCAGGCCCTAAACTGCCTAGGGCTTTATATGTCATTGTCGACACCTTAAATCAGACCTGGTCTTCAGTTGATAGCCAGTGGAGATGGTGCATGGCTGGTGTTATATGGTCATGCCTGCCAGTCTGTGTCAGTAGCCTGGTTGCTCTATTTTCTATCAGTTGAAGAATCCAGATCATCTTTAAATGCAGGCCCATGTAAAGCTCATTGCAATAATCCACAGGGGAGGTCACTGTTGGCAGGCACTGTCTTTCCAGGTAAGGATGCAGCTGATGGAACAGCTTCAGCTTCAGCTGGTAGAAAGCACTCCTCACCACAAAAAGCTCTGAATTGAGGAGTACTTCCAAGCTATGTACCCTGTCCCTTGGGGGAAGTGCAACCCCATCCAGAACAGGGCAAGTGTCACTTACCCGAATTGACAATCTGCCTACCAGTAACACTTCTGTCTTAACAGGACTGAGCCCCAACTTGGTCTTCATTCAGCCCACCATACCGTCCAGACTGTTAACAACAGTCATGGCCTCACCTGGCTTAGAGGAGAATGGGAGGTAGAGTTGGGTGTCATCAGTGTACTGGTGACTCCCCAGCACAAACCTCCAGATGACCTTTCCCAGCAGTTTCATGTAGATGTTGAACAGCAAGGGGGATCCGCTTGAACCCTGTGACAATCCAGGACACAGCTGCCATGGGGCCAAGGCACTATCTCTCAGCAACACCATCTGGAAAGGTCAGGCAGGACCAGAACCTGCAGGGTCGTGCCTCTGACTCCCAGCCTGGCCAACCTATCCAGAAGGATGCCATGGCTGATGATACTAAAAGCCAATGAGAGGTCCAGGAGAACTAACAGGGTTGCACTACCCCTTTCCTCTCCCAGAAAAGGTAATCCCACAGGGCAACCAAGGCAGTTTCAGTTCCAAAATCAGGTCGGTTTCCTCCAAGAGTGCTTGGAGCTGCATGGCCACCACCAGCCAGAACCCTTGCCTAAAAAAGGGATGTTAACTACAGCCATCAAGGGACAGGGGACCAGATCCTCCTTCAGAGAAGCACTGATGACGTCCTATACCAGTGATGGCGAACCTTTTAGAGGCCGAGTGCCCAAACTGCAACTCAGAGCACACTTATTTATCGCAAAGTTCCAACACTGCAATAAAACCTGAATTTACTGACCACCAGCACAAGGGGGCAACATTCCACTGATCACCAGCTTTTGGCCGGCCCTGGAAAAGGCAACTGAGTGTATTTCCTACCTTCTGCTAAAATCACAGTCCAAGGAAATCCCTGGCAGCTCACTGACTGAGGTCGTTGCTTGGTGCCCTTAACCTTTCTGAATATGCACATGGCTGCTGGGCCAATCGCAGGCCGGCAGAGAGGGCTCTGCGTGCCCCTTTGGGCACGTGTGCCATGCGTTTGCCATCACTGTCCTAGACCCAGGAACTCATCCCTTCTCTGGCTTCAGAAAACAGCCAGGAGGGGCAAGGATCGAGAATATGAGTGATGGAATGAACTTGTCCAAGCATTTTGCCCACATCTAAGGCCTCAACAACTGAAACTCATCCAACAAGATTGGGTAAGACACCTAGGACCAGCATGAAATGTGGAGTCCAACTCACAGCAGATCTGAGCAATACTACCCTCAAAGTATTGAGCTAATTCATCACAATGGGCCACCAAGCGTTCAACAGAATCTTACTTTGGCCCAGACTGAAAAAGCTCTGCTGGACGACACTGTGAGGATGCGATGCTGGCAGAGAAGAAGCTCTTCCTCACCATCTTTACCACCACAAAGTAGGCTCAATAATGAGCTCTAACTTGAGTTCAATCAGATTTGGCATGAATTTTTCTCTGCCTGCTCTCTATCAATCTCCCAAACTGCATTATTGCTCACATCTCAGAAGTGTACCATGGGACTGTCCAAGCTCTACCAGGAGGGAGAGGGCATTCACATGTGATTATGTCAACCACAGGTCATTTCTATATTTCATAGAACAACCTGGGCTTCAATGGAAGCACTGGTCATATCAGCAGGAAACTCCTCCAGAGCTCCAAAACATGTCATTTACTGGGTAAAATAAAACTGTTGCTAACCAAAGCTATGCAATTTGAGCACTACATAAATGATGGTGATGATTACTCATAGAAGGCCCATGAAGTTTAATGGTGGAAAGGAAGGATGGGCTGAAGAGGAGGCTCTAGCTCTCAACCTTCTGCATTCTATCTCAACCATTTTTACCCCAGAATTCCTGTCTCTCCTCTCTGGAAATACTCTGTTTGCTTTCTTCTCTGCCACCCTTCTGACACCATAATTGGTGTACATGACATATTAAACCACCTAATAACTTAGCATATTGTCCTAACTGACCTTACAATCCCAGGTGACTTAGCATTTTGTCCAAACCCAACATGACCTTTTGCCCAGCTGCTGGGCTTCAAGTGCAATCAAACCCAGATTAGGTTTAAGCTCAGGGTGGCCAAAATTGCTACAGAGCTACTTGGCCAGAGCATGAACTAAGGCATGCTACTCTGGGCAAACAGCTTTGGGGGAGCACTGATGACAACCTCCTCCAAAGGCCCAAGCAGCACTTGCAGACAGATGTCAGAGGCTCCTTGTGCTGCCGTGGCTGCCAGGCAAAAGGGCTAGCAGCCATGGCATTGTGTGAGGAGCTGCTGCTCTACAGCAGGCTGAGCAAAGGCTGGCTTGGTTCCCCATCTGGCACTGCTGCAGCCATCGGCTAGCGGAAGTGGTGGCGACATCAGCAAGCTATGTTCTGATGGCCTCCTCTGGAGAGCCAGTGTGGTGCAGCGGTGAAGAGCATGGGACTGGGACTCAGGCGATCCGGGTTCGAGTCCCCGCTCGGCCATGGAGCCCACTGGGTGACTTTGGGCCAGTCACAGACTCTCAGCCCAACCTACCTCACAGGGTTGTTGCTGTGGGGATAAGATGGAGGAGGAGAGATGATGTAAGCTGCCTTGAGCCCTTTGTAGGAAAAAGGCAGGATATAAATCGCAATATAAATAAATAAATAAATAAATAAAGAAAGAAAGAAATGTGCCTCCCTACCCTTCACACCCAGTGCTGCTGCCAATCCTAGAAGAAAGCAGCTGCAGCCCCACCTGCCATTCTAGCCCCCATACCCATGGTGAGCCCTCCGCCCTTGGAGTGTGGCAGACACTGCTATAGCCTATTCATGAGTAGGTTGAATAATGGCTGCTCCCATATTGACAAGTGATGGCAAGAGGGGCTAGCACTGCTCCTCTGGGATCCTGAGCACTCATGGAAGGACTGAGGAGAAGCTGTCCTGCCCCAGTGTGCCCCCATGTGAATTCAGGCACATCGGGGGAGGGGGTGTCAAAGGCTGCGCAGTGTGACTTGTCATGTCATGCAAGCCTTACCTCCATTATTGTTATTAGATGCCATCAAGTCATCTTCAACTTACAGTGACCCTAAGTATGACAGAGTCCCTTGGGCTGCAAGACGATCAAAACATTCAGTCCTAGAGGAGATCAACCCTGACTGCTCTTTGGAAGGCCAGACACTGAAGATGAAACTCAAATACTTTGGCCACATAATGAGAAGGAAGGACTCACTGGAAAAGAGTCCAATGCTGGGAACAATTGATGGCAAAAGAAGAAGGGGATGGCAGAGAATGAGGTGGCTAGATGGAGTTTCTCAAGCAGTCAGCGTGAGCTTAAGTGGACTCCAGGGGATGGTGGAGGACAGGAAGGCCTGGAGGAATGTTGTCCATGGGGTCGCGATGGGTCGGACATGACTTTGAGACTAGCGACAAAGTATGACAGCTCTCCAAAATGCTCTATCCATGATATTCATGTTCAGATCCTGCAAATTCAAGGTGGTAGCTTCCTTCACAGAGTCAATCCATCTTATATTTTGTCTTCCATTTCTTCTTCTACCTTCCCTAGCATATTGGTGTTTTCCAGAGAGTTTTGCCTTCTCATGATGTGCCCAAGGTATGAGAACCTCAGTTTTGTTATTTTGCTTCTGGTGATAAAAGGATTATTTCACTTAGAAACCAAAGCCAAGATCATACGCACTACATATATAGCTGTGAAAGCTGGACAATGACGAAAGCTGACAAGAAGAAAATCGATGCATTCGAAACATGATGCCAGAGGAGAAGAAAGCTGACAGAAAGAGGAAAAAGTGGGTCCTAGACGATCAGAGCAAGGAGTGAAAACTGGTAGAAGATAATGTACATGAATAATTTAAGATTTGCACAATATACTGTATTACTGGGAAGAAAGCAGTAACTCAACCTTGACCCTGATGAAAGTGAGAGTGAGAGAAGAAAGTGCAAAAGCAAAATTGCAGCAGATTAAGAAAACAAAAATCATGACTACAGAAAAATTATATAACTTTAATGACAACAATGAACTATGAAAGGTTTTTTGTACCTTGTCTCAATCATCAATTCAAAGGGAGACTACAGCCAGGAAATTAGGAGACTGAGATGTGGAAGGGCAGCAATGAAGAACGTAGAAAAAAACAATCAAATATAAGGATGTTGCACTGGAGAGCAAGGCCAAGATCATCCATACCATTTTATTCCCAATCATTATTCACTGTGATGAAAGCTAGACAGTAAAGAAATCAGGAAGAAAAACCATGCATTTGAAAAGATTCTCCAGGAATTGCGGGGAAAGTCTTATGAGAAGAGACTGAAAGAACTGGGTATGTTTAGACTTGAGAAGAGAAGACAGCAGATAGGACAGGACTCTACAAGGACATCAAAGAGCTGTCACACAGAGGAAGGACAGGATCTCATCTTAATAATCCCAGAGTACAGGACATGAATAATGAGCTCAAGTTACAGGAAGCCAGATTACAGCTGGATATCATGAAAAATTCCCTGTCAGAGCAGTACTGCAATGGAACCAATTACCCGAGGAGGTTGTGGGCTCTCTCATGCTAGAAGCTCTCAAGATGCAGCCGAACAGCCATCTGGGAGGGCTGGTTTAACTTAGAGACCTCCCCTGAGCAGGCTGTTGGACCCAGTGGCCCTCTTGGTCCTTCTAACTCTACTATATTCTATGATTCTATGAAATATGGTGCTGGAGGAAAGCTTTGTGAATATCCTGGCCCAAAACTGAAGCTTCAGGCATATTGTGAGAGGAGAAGACAATCATGCTAAGGAATAGAATTGACTCCACAAAGGAAGTCACAGCTTTGAGTTTATAAGAACTGAGCAGGGCTGTGAAGGACAGGCCATTTTGGAGAACATTCATTCATAGGGTCAGCATAAGCCAGAGCTGACTTGACAGGATGTAACAACAACAGAACCTTAGTTCTGCACCAGGCAGATCAAGTAGTGGAGCTGAACAAAACAGAAGTGTGGTGGGCCAGAGCATAGGTTGGCCTCAGGGTGGGTTTATGTACGCAAAGCAATTAAACTGTGCACTTATCAAGCTATGCAAAAAAAAAGCTGACCTTCTCCATATTAAGTATGGCTTAACACCCTGTGATTTTATTCCTCCCCTTGGCAATCTGGAGGGGAGATTAAAGATCAGGAGGGGAAGGGGAGACAACAGGCTGGTGACAACCAAAAAGTCCAAGGCTCCCCACACCCGCGAGCAAAGCACGACTCCTATCTGAAACCCAGGAGAGCTGCAGCCCGCTCAGAGAAAGATGAAGCAAGGGCCGGAGCCTCCTCTTCAGTCATGCCTTCGTTTCCACCCTCGCCTTCCACCGGTGTGTCTGTCTCAATGTAAGGCCACTTGCCGCGTTCCTGAATCCTAACCCTGACCCCTGGGCTCTGCGCGTAGAACACCAACTTCTTCATGGCGCACATTTACAACAAGACGGAACGGCCAAGTTAACTCTACCACTTCAGGCTGTACGGGAGAGGAGCAAAGGAACGGGGACACAGAGGGCTCGAACCCAGGCCCAGATTTATTGAAACTAGGATCCCCACTCTTCCTGCGGCTGTGGCGCGCCTCAGGCCTTATCCGTGCCCAAGGCTCCGGTAACACCGCCTACCCTTCGCTCCTTTCTCCGCTTCCGACACCGTTTGGAACCCGAAGTGCGTCTTTCCGCCAGCGCTCGAACAACTCGCTCCTCTGCACAGGCCGCGCAAGCGGAGCAGCGGCCGTTGCCCCCGGCAACCGACCCCGGCCCGGCAGGAGGCAGCCAGCACGGAGGCCGCCATCTTGCTCGGCGTCGCCGCGGCCCGAGCTCGCCACGCCCCCCGCAGCCCCGCCCCTTCCGAAGCGGGGGAGGAGCGCGCGCGCGGCCGCGGGTCTGCCTCACCCGCCGCCGCCGCCGCCGAGAGCGTTCCCCGCGCGGGAGCGGCTGGGAGCCCCTTCCGGGGATGTCGCGTGCATGGCTCGGTCCCGTGCCCTTTCTTGGGAGCAGCCTCTGTGGCATTTCTCGGTGGTTCAGGGCTGGCCGAAGACATTTTGCCGCTTGAGGCCCAAGACAGGGTGATGCCCTCCTCATCCGCCGTGGAGTCTGACAAAGGTGGTAGCTGACGGTTGAACCGTGGCCGGCACCCCCGCCTCACCGGAGGGCAGCAGGTTAGCGCAGGCAGCAATGGGAAAGGGCCCTCGCCTCCATGCTCTGCTTCCGAAGGCACCTGGTTTGGCACTATCGGAAACAGCACAACTCTCTTTCCGGCCTGTAAATGGACGCTGTTCGAGCATTGTTGTCGGTGAACTGGACAAATGGCGTCAGTCTTCCCAGCTGTTTGTGAATAAGTGAGTTGCTGAGATCAGCCTGACTAGAGAAGACCGCAAGAAGTTATTTTCTCAGGCTTGAAAATCACTACAAGTATGTTTGCGTACGTCTGATTCATAGGATTTGTTTCTAAAATAATAAATAAAAATAATGTTAAAATAAACCAAAAAGGAAATCTGCTGGAAGGATTAGTTGCTTTCCGGGCTGGGGCAGTAACTTAAAAACATTCCAGAAAAACATCTACTTCTGCTTCACTGACTATGCCAGAGCCTTTGATTGTGTGGATCACAACAAATTGCGGCAGGAGATGGGAGTACCAGACCATCTTATTTGTCTCTTGAGAAACCTGTATGTGGGTGAGAACTGGACATGGAACCACTGATTGGTTCAAAATTGAGAAAGGGGTTTGGCAAGGCTGCATACTGTCGCCCAGCAGAGCACATCATGAGAAAGGCAGGGCTAGATGAATCACCAGTTGGAATTAAGATTGCAGGGAGAAATATCAATAACCTCAGATATGCAGATGACACCATCTAATGGCAGAAAGTGAAGAGGAACTAAAGAGCCTCTTGATGCGGGTGGAGGAGAGCGCAAAAGTTGGCTTGAAACTCAACATTAAGAAAACTAAGATCGTGGCATCCGGTCCTATCACTCCCTGGAAAATAGATGGGGAAAAAATGGAGGTAGTGACAGATTTTATTTTCCTGGGCTCCAAAATCACCACAGACGGGGATTGCAGCCAAGAAATTAAAAGACGTTTGCTCCTTAGGAGGAAAGCTATGGCAAATCTAGATAGCATACTAAAAAGCAGAGATATCACCCTGCCAACAAAAGTGCGTATAGTCAAGGCTATGGTTTTCCCAGCTGCAGCATATGGCTGTGAAAGCTGGACCATAAGGAAGGCTCAGCGCCGAAGGATTGAGGCCTTTGAATTGTGGTGCTGGAGGAGACTCCTCAAGTCCCTTGGACTGCAAGGCGATCAAACTGGTCAGTCCTAGAGGAGATCAACCCTGACTGCTCTTTAGAAGGCCAGATCCTGAAGATGAAACTCAGATACTTTGGCCATCTCATGAGAAGGAAGGAGTCACTGGAGAAGAGCCAACAATAGATGGCAAAAGAAGAAGGGGACGGCAGAGGATGAGGTGGCTGGATGGAGTCACTGAAGGAGTCGCGTGAGCTTAAGTGGACTCCAGGGGATGGTGGGGGATAGGAGAGCCTGGAGGAATGTTGTCCATGGAGTCCGTATGGGGTGGATGCGACTTCGCAACTAGCATAGCATAGGATACACAGAAAGGTGTAACCACTGCTTAATTATGTATGTAATAATGGTAGTAGCTAAAGTTAGGACATGAATAAGACATTCGGTATTTCTAATTATGCTAGGTATATGAGAACTTAGAACCAATAGTTGTTTGGGAGTAAACCAAAATCAGCTGGATTTACATGTTAACATTCATAAGATTAAGCTACAACAAACACAAAGCACAGCAGGCACACTTCTAAGAAATGATCATCCTACCAACTTCTGGAGGCGTTACAAAATGTACCGAGTTACTTAGCTATGATGCACGGAAACTGCTGCGTTACAACCCCAAACAAGTAACACTTCCCTTTATTAAGTCATGCTCGACATGGTGCTTCCAGCTGTGTGGGACTATTGCTTCCAACGCGCAGGAGAGCACCAGGTTGGGGAACGCTGTGCTACTAAAAAAACCCAGTAGAGGAACATGCTGGGAGGTGTAGTCTTTCTCCCAGCTGTGATGGACTTCTATTCGGGCAGGGCGGAGGGGCGAATCGCCACAACAACCAGCATGCTTTGCAGGTCAGGCGCGCTCCGCCTTCAATATAAATAGCCTCATCCGGGTCTTTTCCTGCCACTGCTGTTGGCGATTCGTCGCCATTACGGGGCAGCGGCGACACCGCTGAGGCAGAAACAGTCGGGCTGAGGCGGCCCGGGGGGGGGGTTCCCTGGGCGGCGGCAACCCTCCTACCCCTCGCAGCCCCTCGCGCCGGCACCGGGCCATCCGGGTCTGGCCTCGCGAGGCACCCCCGCTCACACTCCCTCGACCGCTCCGCCGTCCGAGGGGCCCCCTCCGGCCCGGCCGCACCAGGCGGCCCTCAGCTTCTGCTCGGCACTCGAGGCCTGTTCAGCGCGTCGCGTCGCGTCCCTTCCCTCGTCTGGGCGAAGCAGTGAGGAAAATGTCGCCATGAAGGGAGCCGAGACGACTGCGCTGCGCCGTCCCCGCCGCCGGGCCATGAGCCTGGGCCTCGGCCCCGGCCATTCGCTCTCGCCTTTCCTCCTCCGCCTTCGCAGCGGCGCCCCCGCGGCGCCCGTGGATGCTCCTGAGTCCCCCCGCAGCAGCCCCGCGAGACGTCGGGATGGACAAGAGCAACCCCTGCGGCTCCGGCCTCGGCTCCGGCCCCTCCTCTGCGGCAGGGGGCAAAGGGCAGCAGCCGCGCTCTAACTCGGCTGGTCCAGCCGGCGGTGAGTCCAAGTCCAAAGGCGGTAAGGAAGACGGGCCGCGGGGCAGCACCAGCGGACATTGGGGAGCGGGCCAGGCGAAACCATACGCTCAGGTCGTGTTGTTCTTGCGGGGTGGCACCGGTTGGCGGAGCTCCCTGCCCCGAGAGTTTGGGGTGGGGTCTCTTCTACCCGGAGAAGTTTAAGCCAGTCTTCCTCAGCCCGGTGGACTACAACGCCCATCATCCCCATGCAGCCCAGAGAACTTTGAGTATTGGGCGGTATAAAAATGCGAACGAGCAAGCAGGGTGAGCCTGAAGAGCTTCAGGTTGGGTAGAGTTCTTGTAAAGGAAGGAGAATGTGGTGTGAAATTTAGAGGGTTAGACTGGGATTCCAAGAAATCTGGATTTTAGTCGCCTCTCTGCCATGAAGCTTGGACCAATCCCTGTCTCTTGGCTTAGCCTACCTCACAGGGTTGTTCTGAGGATAAAATGGAGAATTATGTAAGCTGCCTGGAGTTCCTTGAAGGAAAAAAGGATGTAAAGATAATAAGGCAGGTTAGAGTGACTGTTAACAGTGACAGTTACTGTTTACTTTGTCTCGAGCTCCACTTGTCACTGTAGAGTCTGGCAACAAATGTTGGGGGCTTGGCACACCCGATTTCTGGGACTAGAGGTCCAGAGGTCTTGTTGAAGAAGGGTATCTACAGGATTTTGCTGCTGTGACTCTGAGGGGCCAGGGATTAACATGCCTACTCTCAGGATTGGAATGTCGAGCTAGAATATGCCCATGTTGCCTTTTAACAAAAAGCTTTAAAAGCACTTTTCAATGCATACATCTTAAAAACATTTCATTAGAGTTTCATATACAGTTGAAACTCATTCAGCAATGACATCAGTCATTTTTTGCTTTCATAAGACTTGGTGGAAATGGTTATGGAGGCTTTATTTAGGCATTTATATACTATTTGATTTCTATGTTGCTCTCCGAATGGCATAAGGGAACAGTTGGCCTTCTTCCATTTGCTTGTATCTATTGCCTTAGAAAGTCTGCAGTTACAATACTGGTTTAAGCCATTCACTCTGAAGTTGTCTCTTGGCGGAATCAGATTTTAAATCCGGCAAAAAAACTACCTCAGCCTCACCTTGCTCTTTAACAGGCTTCAAAATTCCTACACCACAATGATAAACTCTCATTACCTTGGGGGTGTAATACTTAGCACTTCAGTAGCCCTGCTTATAGGTACTGAATTTAAAGACCTTGTGGAGTAGACCCATACAATATGAGTATCACTGTATAATCAAGTCTTGCATTCCCTAACTTCAGTTTGAGTTATATGATTATTAACAGCATAATCCTGTGTATGTATCTTTGGAAACAAGTCATCACATTCTATTTTAGTCTTTGATTTAAAGAGTTCTTAAACTGAACAGGACTCTGTCCATGGATACAGCAGGGCCTTAGAGGCTGTGTTCATGTGGCTCTGCTCATGTCAAGGCCTGTGTTTCTCAGGCCTTGGAGATCCCAAGATTTGTTGTCCTGATGTTTGAGATATTTGCACTATGTCTTTTTAAAATTTAAATTGAGTTGGAGAAGCTTTTTCTTGATGAATTAAGTTGAACCAATTGCTGGTTGTTACTACTGATGAATGTAGCATGAAGATAAAATGTTTGGGTGGAACAAGATCTGCTTTTAACTTTTGTACACCATATGTACAGTGCTGATTATGTTCTAGTCTGCGTAGCCGGTAGATGACATTGAGGATGTAATCGTCAAATCCTATTATGGTCATTGTAACAGTACTGACACAGCAGTGTTGCTTTCTTGTCTCCCAGTTATCAGTGCTGGACTTAACAGATGACTGTCAGAGCTACAGTATATCACAGAAGTGAGTACCCCCTCACATTTTGTAAATATTTTATTATATCTTTTCATGTGACAACCCTGAAGAAATGACACTTTGCTACAATGTAAAGTAGTGAGTATACAGCTTGTATAACAGTGTAAATTTGCTGTCCCCTCAAAATAACACACAGCCATCAGTGTCTAAACCGCTGGCAACAAAAGTAAGTACACCCCTAAGTGAAACTGTCCAAATTGGGCCCAAAGTGTCAATATTCTGTGTGGCCACCATTATTTTCCAGCACTGCCTTAACCCTCTTGGACATGGTGTTCACCAGAGCTTCACAGGTTGCCACTGGAGTCCTCTTTCACTCCTCCATGACGACATCACGGAGCTGGTGAATGTTAGAGACCTTGCACTTCTCCATCTTCCATTTCAGGATGCCCCACAGATGCTCAGTAAGGTTTAGGTCTGGAGACATGCTTGGCCGGTCCATCACCTTTATACTCAGCTTCTTTAGCAGGGTGCAGTGGTCGTCTTGGAGATGTGTTTGGGGTTATGTTGGAATACTGCCCTGCGGCCCAGTCTCCGAAGGGAGGGGATCATGCTCTGCTTCAGTATGTCACAGTACATGTTGGCATTCATGGTTCCCTCAATGAACTGTAGCTCCCCAGTGCCTGCAGCACTCATGCAGCCCCAGACCGTGACACTCCCACCACCATGCTTGACTGTAGGCAAGGCACACTTGTCTTTGTACTCCTCACCTGATTGTCGCCACACACGCTTGACACCATCTGAACCAAGTAAGTTTATCTTGGTCTCATCAGACCACAGGACATGGTTCCACTAATCCATGTCCTTAGTCTGCTTGTCTTCAGCAAACTGTTTGCGGGCTTGCTTGTGCATCTAAAGAAGAGGCTTCCTTCTGGGACAACAGCCCTGCAGACCAATTTGATGCAGTGTGCGGCGTATGGTCTGAGCACTGACAGGCTGACCCACCACCCCTTCAACCTCTGCAGCAGTGCTGGCAGCGCTCATACGTCCATTTCCCAAAGCCAACCTCTGGATATGACGCTGAGCACGTGCACTCAACTTCTTTGGTCGACCATGGCGAGGCCTGTTCTGAGTGGAACCTGTCCTGTTAAGCCACTGTATGGTCTTGGCCACCGTGCTGCAGCTCAGTTTCAGAGTCTTGGCAATCTTCTTATAGGCTAGGCCATCTTTATGTAGAGCAGCAATTCTTTTTTTCAGATCCTCAGAGAGTTCTTTGCCATGAGGTGCCAGGTTGAACTTCCAGTGAACAGTATGAGAGAGTGAGAGCGATAACACCAAATTTAACACACCTGCTCCCCATTCACACCTGAGACCTTGTAACACTAACGAGTCACATGACACTGGGGAGGGAAAATGGCTAATAATGGCCAATTTGGACAGTTTCACTTAGGGGTGTACTCACTTTTGTTGCCAGCGGTTTAGACATTAATGGCTGTGTGTTGAGTTATTTTGAGGGGATAGCAAATTTACACTGTTATACAAGCTGTATGCTCACTACTTTACATTGTAGCAAAGTGTCATTTCTTCAGGGTTGTCACATGAAAAGATATAACAAAATATTTACAAAACGTGGGGGAGGGTACTCACTTCTGTGATATACTGTATATACCTGCAACTCTTGGAGAAAAGTTCTTTGATAAGAGATTCAAGTTGCAGAAACCCCCTATAATGCTTGTGTAGGAATCAACTATCTTTTACTTGTATTTTTATGCAAGTATTTATCTGAGTATGGATGAAGGTTGTAATTAGCAAAGCTATGCAAGCTCGCTATTTTGATGGCAGTCTCTCTCTCTCTCTGAGTCTTGCTCAACTGGGTACCACAACAACTGAAATTAAGTATTTATAAAATTGAGACATTTTCATGATCAATTTTCAGATTACTATGATGTGTTACATATAATGGTTAAGATCTCATTCAAAATCTCCTTCATAATGGCCAACACTCCAACAGAGCAAGAGTAACTATTTGTGTGACAAAATAAGGGTATGTAGTGTCCCTTTGTGCTTTAAGAAAATCTCTATGTTGTGGTTGGCCCTGTATTTGCAGAATATAAGATGCATTTTACAGAAGTGTGGCTGCTAGCTGAAAAGCTGCAACCCTGGGTAAAAGTGTTATCTTGGTAGACAAGATCATTGTGAGATCAAGCTGTACTATTTTTCTTACCTATTTGCATCAGCAATATCAGTTTCTGAATGAATGAATTCTTGCGATGGAATGTTTGTTTACATTTATATTCTGTCATTCCTACTTGATGGAATTCTAGGTGGTATATGTAGAATTCTCAGGTGGTCTGCCCTATCTGTAGAATCTTCCTTAAAATTATTCTACACTTCACAGCAAAACTAGTGGTGGTGCAGTCTGTTTGCCTCCAAGGGACAACAGTCTTAAACTTTATATTGCAATAGATGCAAGAAGGCTGGCTTTGTTTAATAAAGTCACAGTGTGTGTTGACCTGGCTTTGCCAAGAGGGGAAAGAGCATCATATAAATAATTCCCAATTTAATAGACAAATGAATGCCATGAAACACAAAAGTAAATACATTAACAAATTCGTGTTAATAAATGCATTCTGCTGTGTGCAAATCTAGAGTACATGGTTTAATGCTTATTCTGTTTGTTAGTTTTTCATTTTCTTTCACATGATTTAAAACGGGTCCTCAAACTTTTTCAGCAGGGGGCCAGTTGAAAGGTGCTGGTGATGGGCACAGGCCGCCAAGGCGGTGTGGGCGGGGGGTGCGGGCCGGGCCGGGCCGGGCCAGGGGCACGCGCAGGCGTAGTGAGGCAGGGGCATGCGTGCGCGGATATCACTTTCTCTGAGTCCAAAACGATCTCCTTGCGAGCAAGCTACGAGCAAGTCTTGGCACTGGCTTGCTCATGTGGAGATCGTTTTGGACTCGCTTGGAGAAAGCGATCTCTGTGCAAGCAAGCCACTGTACAGTGAGGTGCTAGCTTGCATTTTGGACTCGCTCGGAGAAAAGGATCTCCTTGCAAGCAAGCCAGTGGCTTGCTCGCAAGGAGATCGTTTTCTCCGAGCGAGTCCAAAACTATCTCCACATGAGCAAGCCGCCGCCTCGCCACATGTGCACGTGGCAAGTCCAAAACCTCTATGGTGGGCTGGATAAATGGCCATGGCAGGCCGGATCTGGACTGTGGGCTGTAGTTTGAGGACCCATGATTTAATAGAGCAACTACATTAAGTATTAAGAGTAGCAGACAGGTATAATAGGTTATTCTGGGAATGAATCATAATGAAGCTATTTAGATGAAATGTAGCATATTTAGACTTTGCACTTCCATCATTCATGTGTCATTCTTATAGTCATACACAATATACTTCACTAGACAAAACTTCCCCTGACTTCCCCTGTTAGCTGGATGTTGCTTTTGACACAGTATAAACTACCTGATGCAGTAATGATTGCTTATAGCTTAGCCTAGCCTTCCTGAACCAGCTGCCCACCAATGTTTTGCACATTAACTCCCATCAGCTCCAAACTTCCAACTGGGCGAATGTTCATTGATGCTGGGAGATGTAATTTAAATCATTCAGAGGGCACTGGGATGGGGAAGCCTGGTTTCAGCTGAATTGATAAGCTTAGCTGTAGTCTCAAGCTTTTCTAGTTCAGACATGTTAAAATCTAGTTTTATATCTTTTCAGATGGAAAAAATGCAAATGGATCCAAACAGCGTTATAATCGTAAACGAGAAACTTCATATCCCAAAAATGAAAACTTTTCCAGCCAATCCCGTCGTCCCACTTCACAGAAAAGCAAAGCTTTTAACAAGATGCCTCCTCAGAGAGGGGGCCAGGGTAATGGTGGCAAAGCTTTTAGTCCTTCTTCTAATGGTGGAAGACGAGATGAGGTGAGCATTTGTTCCCAAAGCCATGCCCATTTGAACAGAGAAAGGATAGGAGGCACAGGCCTAATTTAGCATGTTTCTTTTACTGATATTTAGTAAATAAAGTTTAATGGGCCCTGTGTTAATTTTTAGTCCCAGTGCACCACACACATTTAACCTGATTTAAAATTTATATTGCATAGTTGTTGTTGAACTGCTTGTAAAAATCCAAAGAAAATAACAGGTAATTTCTTTCAGGTAATTTAAGAAAAACAAAACTGTATATTACTGACACATTGATTTTAGTAACCATAAGAACTGTACCTGATACGCTGTCAACTGCTCATCTCTTTCTATGGGGTTCAGTTTCCTTTCCCTACATTATGGTGACACTTTCAGTTTCATATCGCTGCTTATGAGTTCCTTTTCATCAGGAGACATTTGTGTTTCAATTGAATATATGTATTATCTCACATACTTGAAAGGTTAATTTTCCAAAAAATAATTAATTACAACTTGGAAACTGCCATGCTTGCCCAATATTTGTAGTTTGTTTAAACTTGTTTTTATGAATGAACTTCTGAAATGGAACATTTTCTGTAGGGAAAAATAAGGCACTGGAAAAGCACCCCTGCCCCCGTACATCATTGGGTCAGGGCTGGAGAGCCAGTTTGGTGTAGTGATTAAGAGTACAGGACTGGGACTCAGATGATCTGGGTTCTAGTCCTTGCTCAGTCATGGAGCCAACTGGGTGACTCTGGGCCAGTCATAAAACTCTCAGCCCAACCTATCTGACAGGGTTGTTGTGGAGATAAGTTCAAGAGGAGAATGATGCAAGCCACTTTGAGTTCTTTAAAAGAAAAAAGGTGGGATATAAACCTAACAAATAATAAACTTCTAGTATGCAGGCCTAATTTAGACCGCAGAGGTCTCAGTACAGCTCATGGGGGCTTGGGCACCTTTTGTGGGCACAGCTCCAGTTTCTCTTCCTAGGCTGGAGAGTTTGGGCCAAGAATGCCATTTGTAATGTCCAATTACTGACAACTCTTGCTGCATGGAAAAAAACCAAATGGGTAGGATGGAGGATGATGTCACTAGGGGAGTGGGATGTATACCTTGATGTTATCCATCTTGGCTACTTGTTATAGGAGGGGAAATTTGGCTCCCAGGCAATTATAGATCATCTATCCCTGCACTGGAGCATACTACACAATTTGTCTTCTGATGATTTTAGAGTTGTGCACCACCTACAGTCTCTTTAGCTTCTGTTACATTCCTGTTAAGGAACAACCTAGATCTAGGTAATAAGCCTTTGCTTATAGAAATGGGGATCAGTCATCTCCACTTCGTCCCAGCTTCCTAGCATGCAGTCCCTAATCCCCATCTTGAGGCTGGATTTAAAATACAGACTTCATGGCATCTTTTGGACTTCCCCCATCCCCTACTTTTTGTACGACCAGTCTGATGAATTAAGTATCAGGCGGGCCAGGTCCCGTCTTTAAAAGTAATTACTGCATGAGCATTGCTATAATTGAAATACAAATATTTCACATGGCTTATATCATTTCTTATACATGATTGGGATAAACCTTGTTAAATATTTGCATAAGATGCAGTTCAGTTCAGGACAAGGTTCTAATTGTTTACATTTTCAAGCAATTTTCATTTGAGTCAAACTCGTACCGTAATCCAAGAGTCTTGGCTGTCACAAACTTTCACCTGATCAAAGGAGAAATGTGAATGGTCTGATGCAACAGCCTTCTGAATTTTTAAACTTGGCCCCCAGGTTCAGAAAAATGGTGAACATGGACATATGGCATATCCTTTGGGGCTCAGTATTGGCACATTAATATGCCAATACTTGTTCTTAATATTCTTTAGGGCCTCCAATTTAGTTTTTAGGGTAGATGCATTAGCCTTCCCAAAGGTTTTAAAAAATTCCTAAACTGTATTTTGTAACGTGCACATTTTACATTTGAATATTTTTATTTTCTGGGAGTTTATTTGCACATGTCATCCTTAGCACACTCTTAGAAGCCCTAAAGATCTTCACTGTATTAGTTATCATTTATGTTATTTATTAGATTGATATCCCACTTTTTTCTTTTTTTGAAGAATTCAAAACCGCTAACATCATTCTCTTCCTCCTTTTCTCAACCTTATACCCATAACAACAATGCTGTGATGTAGGTTGGGCTGAGAGTCTATGGCCCAAATGCATCCATTTGGCTCCGTGGCTGAACAGGGACTAGAACCCAGATGGCCTCAGTCCCAAATCCTGCACTAAACCACACTTGGCCATATTAGTATAGCAGTAATTTAGTTGTACTTTAAGATAATTACATTTCTGCATTACATCCTCATTCCATATTTGGGGCTTGCCTTTGTAGACACTTCAACTGGTATCGTTAAAAAGCTCATTATGTGAGCTTTTAATGTTAGCTAAATATTGTGAAAGGGAAAGCCTGAGAGATATATTGCCCAACTGTGCATTTTGCTTGTTTTCAAAGGTAGCAGAGGCTCAACGGGCAGAGTTTAGCCCTGCCCAGTTCTCTGGCCCCAAGAAGATTAATCTAAACCACTTGTTGAATTTTACTTTTGAACCTCGTGTCCAAGCAAGCCACTTTGATGGGAGCAGCCGTAGCACCTGGGGGAAAAGAAACAGATGGGAGAACAAACCTTTCAACAAGGAGCTCTTCCTGCAGGCCAAGTGAGTGGGTAATCAGCATAAGAGTTATTAGTTCAGATAGCTAAGGGAAGGAAGCCAGTAAGTTGTATATTTGGGATTTAGTGAAACTCCTATGCTTCTGCAAATGCTGGTTTCAATGTTTCCAGTTTTTGAGTTTGCTTCTTTTGCTTATGAGGGCAAATGTTTTCTACAGAATAATAGTAGTATGAACTTCAAGTCCAATTAGGCTTAGTATAGTAGAACTTTATAAAGCAGGTTCTTTTTTTTAATAAGTTTTATTCTAAATAAACCTAATACAAAGAAAAACTAAAAGCAACATCAGTCATCAGAAACATCGGACCTACTGGGTCAGCCCCCCACATTTTTTCTTTTTATGTTGACTTATGAACGTATTTAAATCTATGCGAAGCCCTGTTTCTCTAGCCAATAATAAAAAGAGTCCCAAGTTTGATAGAAGTCAGTATCTTCTTTCTCCATTTCTGCACAGTCCAAGATCTTTTTTAGGATCAGTTCATCAGTGGGTGGCTCTTCACTCTTCCAGTGTTGGGCAAATGCGATCCTCGCCGCAGTAATTACATGTAAAGTCAAGAAATTTCTTGTTTACTAATATCATCAGGTATAATGCCTAATAAGAAAACTTCAGGTTTAAAAGCTAAAGATTTTTGTAACATTTCCTCAAGCCATTTATGTATTTTAATCCAATACATTTTCGCTTTATCGCAAGTCCACCACACATGATAGAAGGTACCCAATTTATGTTTACATTTCCAACATCCATTTGACATATTTGGAAACATCTTGGCTAATCTATTTGGCAATAGATACCATCTATAAAACATTTTATACAAGTTTTCTTTATATGAAGATGCTAATGTTACCTTAATATTTCTCTCCCACAGCTTTTGCCATTTTTCTAGTTCAATATTATATCCAAAGTTTTGTGCCCACGTTAACATAGTTTCCTTAACCTGTTCATCTTCCATATCTAGTAAGAAATTATATAATCTTTTAATCATTTTCTCATCTGATTTAAGCATCACCTGATCAAATGCTGTAAAAACCTTATAAAAGCCCTGCATTCTATAGTCTTTAGCATATCTCGATTGTATCTGCACCTTATGCCACCAAGAAATATTAGATCCTTGTTCTTGTATTTCTTGATTCAGTTTCAGTCCTCCATCATTATCCAAAATGTCATCGTATCTTACAATCATTTCAAAATTCAATGCATTTGGATGTACAAGAGCTTCCATAGGTGAAAGCCATCTTGGTAATTTATTATACAGTTTTGTCTAACTTTTCTCACACCGACATGATTTCCTAATATAATGACTTAAAAAACAACCATGTGCCTTACACTTCTCATAGTACATATAAGCGTGCCAACCCATTTGCAAATCATGCCGTTCAAGATACAAGATTCTCTTATTTCTAAAAGTTATTCATTATTTTAGCCACTTTAAAACAGAAGCTTGATAATACAGCATCCAATCAGGAAGACCAAACCCCCCATTCTCTTTAGCCTCCTGAAGTATTTTTAGTTTATTCCTTGGTTTCTTCTTTCTCCATATAAATCTTGAGATTTGAACATTTAAATCATCAAAAAATTTTCTATCAATTTTTATGGGAATCATTTGGAATAGAAACAAAATCTTTGGCAATATATTCATTTTAGCTAGCGCTATTCTTTCCAGCAATGATAATTGCAAGTTAGCCCATTTTTCCAAATCACTCTTAATTTCCTTAAATAGTTTATCATAATTGTCTTCTTTCAGAGTGGTACACTTAACTGTAAGATAAATTCCCAAGTATTTAACCTTTTTAACAATCTGGAAGTCTACTTGTTCCACCAGAGTTTTTCTCTGCTCCTGTGTGAGACTTTTTACTAACAATTTCATCTTTTCTCTGTTTATTTTCATCCCAGTAACCTTGCCATACTCTTCAATCCTTTGTAGGAGTTTAGACATTGTTACTAAGGGTTCCTCAATTATGAAAACTAGGTCATCTGCAAATGCTTGCAATTTATAGTTTTCATCTCTAATTCTAGTAGCTTTAATGTCCATATTGTCCCTGATATTTCTCTTTAACACTTCTAGGATCAATATAAACAACAGTGGTGATAGTGGGCATCCTTGTCTTGTACCCTTTTGTATATCTATAGTATTTGTAAATTCTCCATTGATTATAATCCTAGCAGACTGCTTTTGATAGATACTTAATATCGCATTAATGAACTTTTCACCAAACTCCATTTGAACTAGTTGTTGCTTCATGAACTGCCAATTAACATTGTCAAAAGCCTTCTGTGCGTCCAGGAATAACAGTGCCATTGGTTTTTCCATATGCATCTCATAATAATCTAAGATGTCCAAGATAGTTCTCATATTATTCATTTGTCTTTTAGGTAAAAAACCATTTTGATCTGAATGAATAAAGTCTGTTAAATACTTCTTCAATCTTTCTGCCATTATGGAGGCAAAAGAAGCAGGTTCTGTTCTGGTTATCAAGCTAAGAACACCAAGGATTATTGTGCATTTTTAATTTGATATACTAGATTTACATAACTTTCAGAAATTTTTGTTCTATAAACACATCTTAACATTTCTGCCTACAGTGGTACCTTGGCTCACAAACGTAATCCGTTCCATGACTCTGGTCACAACCCAACTTGGTCGTGAGCCAAGTCAAATTTCCCATAAGGCTCAGTGTAAATAAGGTTAATCCATTCTGTAACCATTTTTTTTTAATCACAAAAATTTGAAACAAAATGACAACAAAAAAGTAACAAAAAACAAAAAAGATCCCTCCCCCCCCCCCCCCCCCCCGCATGACCATGATCGCGCCTGTCCTCCCTACACGAGCACAACTGCAGTCGTGGCCATCTCCCCACCTTCGCAAGCACAATCACGGCCATCTCCCCCACCCCCCCCGAGCACGACTGTGACTGCACTCGTGCAGGGAAGATGGGTGCGATCACGATCGTCACCCAATGCGGAGTTCGCAACCTGATGCAAAATTTTTCTGAAATTTCTGTTCGCAACCCGATTTGTTTGTGAACTGAGGCGTTCATGACCGAGGTACTACTGTAGTTCAAGGCAGTAGTTAAAGATAGTGGAGGCACTCTCAATTTTTCTTCCCCTTTAATACCATTTTATACGTAGTATTCTGCTTGAGGTTGGCAGCCTTCCCCAAGCTGGCACACCCCAGATGTGTTAATTAGAATTATTATTCCCAGCCAAAATATGGACAGGATGTTTGGGGTGATGGTAGCTACTATTGGGGCTTGCCTTTGTAGACACTAGAAATGCTGCTATTCTTAGTCTTGTCATAGATAACTGTGATTAGGATCACTGCTTATCCAGACTCCTTTTTAACTCATGAGTACCAGGTAATTGCAATATGTGATTATCTATTTAAAATAGCTTGTGTTCTTTCCAGCTGCCAGTTTGTGGTGTGTGATGACCAGGACTACACAGTTCACTTCACTGACCCAGACACTTTGGTCAACTGGGATTTTGTGGAGCAAGTGGTTAGTAGCAATGAACTGGACTTGCCTTACCTTACATCCTTTTTATATAAACTGGCTGCTTCTCGTCTGCTAAGCTTAATTTGTCATTTGCTCAGCTTAACTTCATATGGGACAGTTTGGGTAATACGCTCTGGAAAATAGCCAGGTCTCTGAGGGAATTTCTGTTTTGTTACAAACCTGCCATATCCCTAAGAACTGCAAGAGAGGCCCTTTTGTGAGCACCCTTATGCACAGTCCTGTTTGTCAGGTCTGTTTGAAAAGACTTTCTCCTGTGTTCCTCTCCATCTGAAAAAAACCTAGATAATCCATTTCATTCAAGGGTGCCCAGAGCTGTTCAGGCACCACCTGCTCAAGCCCCTTGGCCAGGAAGGGACTATTGGATCGGGAGAATGTTAACTATAGGCCAAGTTAAGCTTTTTTCAGGAGCAGCCACTCCCTCTCTCAAGGAGGCATTTACAGCTTCCTGGACCCAGGCAGAAATTCCTCTCTTGGTTCTTGTAATAAACCATGAGGGGCAAGGGTTGAGCACACAGTTGGTGGTCCAGACTTAACCAAGCACCTTGTTCACATCCTCGGGTCTCAATAACAGAAGCTCATCCAATAAAACTAAACCAGACTCTGCTCTAGGTGCCTCTGTTGGTGAAACTGCATCAATTGTGATGTCCAATTCAAAATGAATCTGAGCGAATTTATCTTCTAGTGCCAAGCAAATTCATCACAGAGAGCTATTGAGGCTCCATAATTTCTTTCTCTAGGCTAGAATATAGTAGGTCATGAACCACATGGAAAAGCTCCTCTGGACAGCACTGAGAAGATGCAGTGCTGGTGGAAAACAACTGCCTTTGTGCCACCGTCCAGCCACTCCACAGGACAGGCGGGACGGCAGGGAAGGCAGTCCTTTTCATGGTTAAGTGTATGCAAGTTTGGGCTGTGGTGTGAAGGCTGCATCCTGGCACCAGCTGGGTCCGCTGCTGGCATGCCCAGTGTTACTTCCTGGGACCAGCCCAGTTCTTAGGCCAAAGCAGGTTCCTGATATCCTAGAGCAGTGGTCAAGACCTGTAACAGTGGACTGGATGAGACCAAGGGGCTATTGGAGACTGCTAGTATGACTTACCATACTAAGGAAAGCAGTTCATACTAGTAATTAATATTCTCTCACATCCACTTTCTTCTGGCCCCATCCTCCCAGCTGCTCCATACAGGTCAGATGAGAAGTTGGTTGATTCTCAGATCCTTTTGTGAGCTTTAAGCAAGGAAAAGCATCCCTGCCTGGGGATTTCTTGGAGGCTTGGGGAAGAAGCTGGTGGATTGGATGGTAAACCCCGCTGAGTAGAGATTTCCCAAGGAAATAGTACTTTTGAGATAATGGAGCATAATAAACGATTCTGTTGCACTTTCCTAGCGGATCTGTAGCCATGAGGTGCCCTCTTGCCCAATATGCTTATACCCACCCACTGCTGCCAAGATCACCCGTTGTGGCCACATCTTTTGCTGGGCCTGCATCCTGCATTATCTCTCTCTGAGTGAGAAGACCTGGAGTAAGTGTCCCATCTGTTATGGTGCTGTTCACAAGAAGGACCTCAAAAGGTAAACAAGCTCTCTGAGCAATATCTTAGTTTGGTTAGATAACCAGTCACCTATTACTCAACACTTGCCCCCCCTTTTTTTTAACAGTGTTGTTGCTCTAGAAACTCGTCAGTATGCAATTGGAGATACAATTACAATGCAGCTGATGCAACGGGAGAAAGGGGTCTTGATGGCACTGCCAAAGTCACAGCGTACAAATGTGGAGCAGCCTGTTCACTTGGGAGGTAAGCTGTTTGCATGAACTGTGGCCTGTGTGTTTCATTTACTGCATCTGTAAAATGGGGCACAATATGCTTCAAAGTTAATTTTGCATGGGCCCCATTGAAATGAATAGGAGTGCAAAAGCATATTTTGGCAGTGTTACTTGATGCTCTTCCATAAGGGCCATAACAGAGCTGACAGCCTGCTGATGCTCAGAATGTGTGCAAACAATTTGAACGTGCTACTTCCAAAAGTGAGAAATTGACTCATAGAATCATAGAATAGACCAGAAGTGTTGGAAGGGGCCATGAAGGCCATTGAGTCCAAGCCCCTGCTCTTGCAGGACACCATGTTATGCCATCCCACTCAGATGGAGTCCAGTTTCTTCTTGAATGCCTCTAGGGTGGGAGAGCCCACCACCTCCCTTGGCAGCTGGTTCCACTCTCCTGTTGCTTTAACAGTGAGGAAGCTTTTCCTGATGTCCAGCCTGAGTCTGGGTTGCTGCAGCTTGAACCGATTATTCCGTGTCCTACACTCTGACATTAGTAAGTGGAGATCTTGACCTTCCTCTTTGTGACAGCCTTTGAGGTACTTCTAGAGGGATATCATGTCCCCTCTCAGTCTTCTCTTCTCAAGACTGAACATGCCCAGTTCAATCTCTCCTTACAGGGCAGTGTTTCCAAACCCTGGATCATTTTTGTTGCCCTCTGCTAGAACCTTTCTAATTTATCTGCATCTTCCTTAAATCTTGGTGCCCAGAACTAGACACAATAATCCAGCTGCAGTCTGACTAGTTAGGAGTATAGAGCAACTACTACTTCTCGTGATTTGGAAGTAATACTTCTGTTAATGCATCCCAAAAGAGCATTTGCTCTTTTGGCAGCTGCGTCGCATTGTTGGCTCATGTTTAGCCTGTTGTCCGCAATTACTCCAAGATCTTTTTCTTGTTCAGTTCTGTTGAGCCATGTATTCCCCATCTTGTATCAGTGCATTTGGTTTCTTTTTCCTAGTTGGAGGACTTGGCACTTGTCCTTATTGAATCACATTCTGGTGCTTTCAGCCCAGTGTTCAAGTTTATCAAGATCGCCCTGGGTCTTCGTTCTGTTTTCTAGAGTATTTGCTCTTCCACCCAGTTTTACACTGTTTGCAAATTTGATTATTTTTCCTTGTACTTCCTCATCTAAATCATTAATAAAGCTGTTGAAGAGCACTGGGCCCAGGACTGAACCCTGTGGCACCCCACTAGTTACCTTCATCCAATTTGAGAAGGTGCCATTGATGAACCCTCTTTGTGACTGATTTAGCAGCCAATTTTGGAACCATCTAATAGTTTTTCCATCTAGTCCAGTTTTTGCTAATTTGCTTATCAAAATGTGGTGTGGCACTGTGTCAAATGCTTTGCTAAAGTCTAGGTAGATTATGTCCACAGTGTTCCCTTTGTCCATTTGGGAGGTTACCCAGTTAAAAATGAGATTAAATTAGTCTGACAGGATTAATTTTTGATAAATCCATGCTGGCTTCTATTAATCACTGAATTTTCTTCAAGATGCTTGCAGATGAATTTTTTAATAATTTGCCCCAGAATTTTTCAGGGATTGACGTCAGACTAACTGGTCTGTAATTCCCAGGTTCATATTTTTTCCCCTTTTGAGCATAGGGACAACGTTAGCCCTTTTGTAGTCATCTGGCACTTTTCCTGTTTTCCAAGATGTATCAAAGATAATAGCCAGTGGTTCTGAGACTTCCTCTGCTAGCTTTTTTAAAAGTCTGGGATGGAGTCCATCGAGCCCTGGTGATTGGAAAGTGTTTATTTCACCTAGGTATTCCTTGACCATTTGTCTGTCAATCTTGGGCTGCCATCTCTCACTTCCAGCTTGTACTTCCTCTTGATTGCAGATTTCCTTGTGGGAAAAGACTGAAGCGAAGTAGGAATTGAGAGCCTCTGCCTTTTCTTTGTCACCTGTTATTACTCTGCCATCTACTTTGAGTAGCTGGACACCCTTCTCTTTCTCAAGTCTTTTGTTCTGGATGTATCTGAAGAAGGCTTTCCTGTTGTTCTTAGACTCCCTTGCTATTTTTAGTTCATTTTCTGGTTTAGACTTCCTGATGCAATTCCGTGCTATTTGTTTATATTCTTCCTTCGTGGCCTGGCCCTGTTTCCACTTCCAGTACATGTTCTTTTTTTCTTTCAGGCTGTCACCTAACCTTTTGTGGAGCCATGTGGGTTTCCTCTGCAGTCTTCTACACTTTTTTCTTGATGGAGTTGTTTGTAGTTGTGCTTCAAGATTTCCCACATCTCTTGGACACCTTTCCCCTGAAGGGTGTGTTGCCATGGCACTTCGCTTATCATTTTTTGAGTTTGTTAAAGTTGGCTTCCCTGAGGTCCAGGATGCTAGTTTGGCTCCAGTTACCCTGTCTCCTTCATAATCGAGAATTCAAGTGTCACACGGTCACTTTCCCCGAGAGTTCCCATGGTTGTTATTTTGTCCACCAGGCCATCCCTGTTAGTTAGTATTAAATCGAGGATAGCTGATCCTCTCGTACCTTCCTCTACTTTCTGCTGGAGAAAGTTGTCAGCAACACATGTCAGGAACCTCTTGGAGGGGCCATGCTTGGCATAATTTGTCTCCCAGTGTACATCAGGGAAACTGAGGTCCCCCATAAGGAGTACATCATTCTTCTTGGAAATGCTGACAAGTTGCTTTTCGAAGGTTGCATCCATGTCCTCTTTTGGACTGGGGGGACAGTAATATATGCGAACAACTGTTTTTTTCTTATTTTTTGCTCCCTTTAATTTAGGCAGATGCTTTCAGTGGGGCTACTAAGTTGTTCTTGAATTTCTGTGGAGATACTGTATATGTATCTCTCACATATAGTGCAACTCCAGCTCCCTTTTTGTCCTTTCTATTTGTCTTGAATAGGCTGTATTCATCAATTGTAGAGTTCCAGTCATGTGAGTCATCCCACCAAGTTTCTATTATTCCTATAAGATCATAATTGCCCTTGTGTACTATGAGCTTAAGTTCGTGTTGCTTGTTTCCCATACTCTGGGCATTGGTGTAGAGGTATTGAAATTCATTCTCGCTGTGCCCTGGTTTTCTTTCTACATTTTTTGGGAGACTGGTGCTGGGCCCTGCCTGAGGTTTTTTCTCTACTGAAATATATAAGTCTTTAAATGCAAGATGGGTTGGAGCACATATCTCTGATTAGGCAGCTGAAGGACACCCTCATTGTGTTCACAGTCTCTTTCTGCTCATAAATAGGTCTTAAATATTAGGAGTTCCTTATGGAAAGGATAGGCTTGTTGCAGCACCTACAATTGTGCAGGCTGGAGTTTTAAGAACAGACCGTAGATGGCTGGCCTTCAGTGTGTATCCATACTGGATTGTTATGTGTGTTCCAGTGTGTAACTTACTTCATGTATTTCTTTGTCCAGATGAGGAACACGGTCAGTATTCAAAGTTGCTTTTGGCTTCTAAGGCTCAAGTGCTGCAGCTGGTGGTTTTGGAGGAGAAAGCAGCACTCCTGCGCCAGTATGAGGAGAATAAGCACACCCCTGAAGCATGTTTCATTGAAGCAGCTATTCAGGAGTTGAAAGTGAGGACCCTTTAATCTTTGCTTAATATGATGTGGTGTGAAATCATTGGATTGTAGTGGTACAGTGTGACACAGGTTACCAGAAACACTGAGTAACTTCATTGCATATTTCCCCATTTGAGCAACTGGTTTGAATTTGGAGGGGAGAGAGCAAAATAACTCTGTGTACTGCAGTGGGAGTAGCCTGATCTAGTCGAGGTTCCAGGTTTGCATATCAGCTTCACAACAGGCTTGTGCAGTGTGTCACTGTAGACTTCTGTCTAGGCTTATGTAGAGTCATAACTATGGTCACCATAGTCATTGTGGGAAGGAGGGAAGTAGCAGGCCCCCAAATAAACAAAAGTTCAGTGTGTTGAAGGGAGGTAACTCTGTCATCCTTTCTTTGGTACTCATATTGCATCCCTGGCTTATAGAGAAAGTGCATCTCCAGTACCCCAGGACAAGCAAAAGCAATGGGAATGAGCAGGTTGTACATACTGGTGTGGAGTCAAGATAAAAATTGCCTGGCTTGGTTTTTAGGATAGAGAGAGCAACTTGATGTCTGACAGAAATGAAGACAGTGATGTTGCAGGCACTGCCGTTGCTGTGGCTGAATTAGTCATGACAGAGTCATCTGACAAAGAAGCAGGAGTGTCCCAGGAGAGGAAGGTGAGAGCCTGAATACTACTGAAAATGCACCCTTCTCTTTGGTAGTATTCAGCCCTTTGGACTGGAGTAAGCATGGCTTAAGGGGCCATTAAACTGGAGTCACCCTCTCCAGGGTGACCGTAAAATCTTGTTTCCTCTAGACCAGGGCAGGAGAATGCATGACCCACTGCTGTTGTTGAACAGCAACTCCTCCTCATTGGCTATGCTGGCTGGGGAAGCGACATGCTCCTTAAAGGGCATAGCGACCATCAACATTTGCAGAATAACAGCAGGACTGGGACAGAGTTTCTCATGGGACTTAAAGAATTTGAATGAGTTGAGAAAATGGATACTAACTACTTTCTACTGTGAACAGCATGTTCTAGAGTATCTTTCTGCATTTGATGATGAAGTCCTGAAGTCTCCTGTGGATTTTTCAAATGGACATGCATGCCCTACTGAGACAGAAGAGGATGTGGTGACTGATGCAGAAGAAGCTGGTGTAGATCTGGCATGCACAGGTGAAATGGGAGAAGTTAGTCGGACTGAATCTGTCTGTGAGAAATCTAAAACTGCAGTCAGCAGCGGACACACAAGTAGCTCTCCTTTCTACTACTTCTACCAAGGTTAGTACAACACTATACCATATTGGAGGATGGTCTCAAAGTTTGTTAGTGTAGCACCTCAGAACTATGACTGCCTTCCCCCAGGAAAACAAAAAACACTTGGGAGTGGAACAGAGAAGAGATGTGGTGGCCCTTGATGATAGTGTTGGCTAGCAACATATTGAAATTTAACAAATTGCCTCACAACAATGAGGCAAATGAATGACTTTCATTGAATAGCAGTACCCCCAGTCTGCACTCTCCCAGTGCAGCATGGCCCATAGGTAATTGTTGAAATCTATTTATATCATTCGTATAATTATGATACTTCTTAGAATCATAGAATAGCAGAGTTGGAAGGGGCCAAGAAATCCATTGGGTTCAATCCCCTGCTGTTGCAAGACACCAATTTATATCATCCCACTTAATCATTCCATCTCAAGCTTTTTGAATACAACTTGCAGGCCCTGCCTGGATAATTAGACTGAGTGCCAAGTCCAAGTACAGGTTTTTGACCTGGCTGGTTGGCCTCTGAATGTTTGTTTATTTAATTTTATTTAAAACATTTGTATGCCACCCAGTTGTGCCACAGCACCTCTTTATCTGCTGCTCTTAAAGTTTAAGGCTGACTTCTAAAGTTATCCAGGATATTCTTCCTATGCCAGATGTCCATTCTGGATAACTTAACTGAGTTAAGTTAATGTTGATGAGGGGAGATACCAGGTTTATAGAAATGCAAGAAATATTGAGGGGAAGGGGGAACCACCCCGGCCCCCCAGAAGACCCCAGGGGTGGCTAGGCATGCTCAGTGCAGCCACAGAATGCTTATTAGGATGGGGGAGTGCTGAGAGATGCATGTGCATGCAGAGAGAAAAGAGAGCACACTTACTGTTTAGATAGGACCTTGTATAGTTCCAAGCTGAGGTGGTCAAATGCCTTATGGGATGTTTGCTCCTTGGGCTCATGTAGAGAACTGTGATAAACTTAGGGCTGCTGCCTCAGGTGGAACTACGGTGGGTTGCCATCATTATCCACATGGTATTATGAATTGGTGTCCTGCTACAGCAAGGGGTTTGACTCAGTGGCCTCCTTGGCCCTTTTCCACCCCTAATATCAAGGAGTGGAAATTGAGGGGCTCCTCAGGGCATTGGGCATTACAAAGGCGCCAGGCCCTGATGGGTTACACCCAAGAGTACTTAGAGAGTTGGCAGGGTTCTCTCACGCCCGCTGGCCTCCATTTTTGAGGCCTCGTGGAGAACAGGTGAAGTTCCAGAGGACTGGAGGGTGGCGTCAGTGGTCCCAATTTTCAAAAAGGGGAGTAGAAGGGACATGGGGAATTATAGACCGGTTAGCCTTACGTCCATTGTAGGAAAAACAATGGAAGGCTCATAATAGAGAGAGATCTAGTGATGCTAGATAGGGAAGGGAGGCTGGCAGCCACACAACACGGGTTCTTCAAAAAGAGGTCCTGCCAGACAAACCTTGTGGAATTCTATGACAAGGTTTCAAGATGGCTAGATGGAGGGGATGCAGTGAATGTGGTATGCCTGGATTTCAGCAAGGCCTTTGACAAAGTGCCCCATGATATCCTGGTGGAGAAACTGAGGAGTTTTGGGATACACCAAAGCACTGTCTGGTGCATTAGGGTAACCATTAGTGGGGAATCATTGGGATGGTGGCCAGTGAAAAGCTGGGTCCCCAGGGCTCTGTCCTGGGGCCGATCCTGTTTAATCTTTTCATAAATGACATGGAAGAAGGGGTGAACAGTCTGCTGGTCAAATTCACAGATGATACTAAAACTGGAGCAGTGGCCACAACTGAGGAGCAGGTACTCCAGATCCAAAAGGATCTGGACAGACTATGGAAGTGGGCAGGAGACAACAGGATGGCGTTCAATGTGGATAAGTGCAAGGTCTTGCACTTGGGGCATAGGAATAGGTGTCAAAAGTACAAGTTAGGTGACAAGTGACTGGAGAGCAGCACTTGTGAAAGGGACCTCGGGGTGCTGGTTGACTGCAGGCTAGACAAGAGTCAGCCGTGTGATGCGGTGGTCAAGAGGGCGAACGTCACCCTTGGTTGCATAGAAGGGGTGAACAGTCTGCTGTTCTAGATCGAGAGAGGTATTATTACCACTCTATATGACTCTGGTGCGCCTGCAACCAGTGTATTGTGTTTTGGGCCCCTCATTACAGAAAGGAGATAGCCAGGTTAAAGTCAGTGGAGCGTAGGGCCACAGGATTGGTGACTGGTTTGCAGGGATGGGGTATGAGGCGAGACTGAGGGAACTGGGTCTCTTCAGCCTGGAGAAGAGGAGACTCAGAGGGGATCTGTTGGCGACATACAGGTATGTGAGGGGATGTCACAGGGAGGTGGGTAGAGACCTGTTCTCCTCTGCAGAGGAAGGCAGGACGTGCTCCAACGGAGCAAAACTCAGGGAACCAAGGTTCCATTTAGATGCCAGGAAGCACTACCTGACAGGGGGTCAGACTAGATGGCCCAGAGGCCTCTTCTGACTCGCTGTTTCTATGTTTCTAATATTCTGTGAACATCACATGTATTTCTGTACTGCCCAGTAGCTCTTTGCGCAGTTTGCAGCTCATGATTTCAATGCTTGCTGTGTGACTTCTCTTCCAATACTGTAGCTGAGGATGGGCAGTGTCTGTATCTTCACCCTGTGAATGTACGGTGCCTTGTGCATGAGTATGGCAGTCTGGAGAGGAGCCCAGAAAAGATCACTGCGACTGTGGTGGAGATATCTGGCCACTCCATGACAGAGGTAATAGTCCTCTTAATTGCCGTTTTGGCCTTGGCAGGATTTGGCTGAGGAAAGTCCCTTGCATGAGTTCTCACTGAGGTAGGAATGCTAAAACCTGTCGTAGTGAACACAGGGTGTGTCTGGGTGGATAAGCTTAATAGGGTTTCGTGATGCAACATGCTCTGGCTGCTGTTCTTTGCTTAGAGCATTGGAGGGTTGGGTTAAATTATGATGGGTCAGCATGCTGTCCACAGAAGTGACTTCTGGCATGGTGGAGGATGTAGTCCAAGGCCTTATAACCAGTCCCAACTCCTTTCTGCAGGATGTGCGGCAGCGTCATCGTTACCTGTGTCACTTGCCACTTACATGTGAGTTCAGCATCTGTGAATTGGCTTTGAAGCCTCCAGTCATTTCGAAGGAAACACTGCTAATATTTTCAGGTGAGCATTAGAAGTTATGTTTTCTGTTCTTTAAAAAAATGAAAAAGAAAACTTTGTGAGCAAATCAAGAAAGGATTATGTGTGTGTTTCCAGTAAGGCTTATGTTAAGAGGAGAAGTGTGTTTATTGGCTTTCCAAAGCAATAAATATTGACATGGGTGAAGGCTAGACCCTGCAAGTAGGAAATTAAACCAACTAAAGGAATAGGGCTGAAAGGAAGTGAGCTGCTGCCCCTCTGCCCAAGGGGCAGGAAGGAGCAGAGGGACAACTGATTTGTTGTTAGCCGCTTGCCTCACCTAGAATCTCTCCCAGTGGTTGGGAGACTCACTCAGCAGTGACAGCCAGGTCACGTTGCTTCCTAGAAGCTATAGAGGGAGGGTTTTTCACACACAGGGTCCGAGAGGTGACTGGGTGGGTGGGGGGGATGGACATCTTTGCTTTGGTCTTGACCAACAGGGAGACTCATTCAGGACTCACAAGGATATAGCCAGGTTGGAGTCAGTGCAGCGCAGGGCCACAAGGTTGGTGGCCGGTTTGCAGGGGATGCTGTATGAGGCGAGACTGAGGGAACTGGGTCTCTTCAGCCTGGAGAAGAGGAGACTCAGAGGGGATATGTTGCCTCCATGTCACATGGAGATGGGTAGAGACCTATTCTCCCCTGCAGAGGAAGGCAGGACGCGCTCCAACGGAGCAAAGCTCAGGGAGCCAAGGTTCCATTTGGATGCCAGGAAGCACTTCCTGACAGTTAGGACCCCGAGGGTGTGGAATGGGCTTCCCTGGAAGGTGGCTGAGGCCCCATCGGTGAGGGTGTTCAAAGACAGGCTAGACATGCACATGGTGGGCATATCATGAGCAGAGCTGGCTAGAGCCAGGGATCAGACTAGATGGCCCAGAAGGCCCCTTCTGACCTGCTCTGTTTTTATGCTTCTATGTTTCTTAGATGATATTGAAAAAAGGAAACGTCTGAGACAGAAGAAAGCTCGTGATGAGCGACGAAGGGAGCGTAGAATTGAGATGGAGGAAAATAAGAAGCAAGGCAAATGTAAGTGGTAATCTTGGACTTAACAGATCAACAGAAAGGATCTTCATGGCAATTACTATACAAAAATGGAAGGGTGGGAATTGCTGTGTTGGTTGTCATATCCTAGTAGGTTTTAAAGGATGAATTTTGCTGGCATTGTGGGGCAAGGTCACCAAAGGTAGCATGACAAGAAATAGCCAACGGATATGTAAAAGTGGTGGAAATGGAACAAACCTGTTTTAATACTAAAGTCAACTGACTGCTCAGGTAGTTGAGTCTCCTGAGCAGCATAACTTTTAGCCATCTCTCTGGAAGGAAAATAAAATATGCGCAAGGGAATAGATGGTGCTTGAATTGGCCCCAGTAGCTGCATTGGAGTGTTTTTGTGCAAGCAAATAGGCTTGTCGTAGAAATAGAACTTCTGTTTTTTGTCTAGATCCTGAGGTTCATATTGCTTTAGAAAATCTGCAACAGTTCCCTGCCTTCAGTGCTTGTTCAGGAGAATCTGCTGGTGAGAACCAAAGCTACCTTCTGCTGTCTTCTGTCAATACAAGTCCTGTTTCTCAGCCAGGTGAGCAGCCTGAAAGAGCCAACCAGTGCCCTCTTTCTGTACAGGATTGAATTCCACTTTTTCAGATGGCCTCGGCAGTTTCATTGTTTGCTTCACAGCAGAATCCATTTGGCAATAACTGTTGCTGCTGAGCAACCAGGTACTTTCTCCAACAGAGTACTTAGGCATCTGAAACAGGGATCTTAAAAGTACGGTGGCCCTTCAGCACTATTTAAAAATCAATTCTAGCCACACAAATGTAGTAAGACTTGAAAGGTGGGGAATGCACAAGGCAAGGCACGGCACAGATGCTCCAACTCTTGGTGCCCTGCCTCTTGAATAGGCTTCCTTAATACAGTAATTGATTCTTGTATCACACCTGTGGTTTTTCTGTTGCAGAATCCTTGTTGACGCCACTGTTGCCAGCAGGCAGTCTTGGCAGCCCTTCACTGTGTTTTGGGAGCCTGGAGGAGGAATCTCCCCTACCTTCATTTGCCCAAGTATGTAATTTGTACAGGATCTTCTACTGCAACTGATTAGTACAAACAACTTTCACGGAGTCGGATGTGAATCAAGCAAAAACTGAGACTGCATCTGGAACTATAAAATGACCGAATCGGATCTGAAAGGGTGTCATTTGCAATGCATTTTGGCAGGCCTATAATCTCTGCCATTTATTTATTGAGAAGATTTATATGCTGCCATTTAATCCAGAGATCATCATTTAGTTGCAAATTAGTAGGATTGCATGAAACTGAATTGGGTTTTGCAAAGACATGAATGGTATAATGAAATATGGAACATGGTAATTAGTGATAAACTGACAGAAATAAAAATTAAAATAGGGTTAATGAAAGCAAATAAATATAATGAAATTTGGGAAGATTTTGTAAAAGCAGTACTGATAGAAGGCAAAGACTGTAAACCCAGTCAAAATTATATGAACTTCTGGAAGGGTTATGGAATTAATTGAAGTATATTATATATTATTGTTATAGTATGTGAATGGTGGTAGCATTGGTCTCCGGGGTGGTGGGGGCACTTTATTATTTACTTTTATTGTGTTTTTGTTATTGTTGTGATGTATTTATGGGGTTTTGTTTTGTTTTTGTTTTTGGTCTTAAAAAAAATAAAAAATGCGGGGGAAGCAAATTAGTAGAATTGTGCTGTTGTGTGCGTGGCTGATTTGGATTCTGGTCCTGACTTCCTGTCTCTATTTTTGATAGATGTTGAGGGCTGGGAAAGCAAAACCAGAAACATGGAATAGTTTTCAACCAAAGAAGAAAGGTAAGCAAGTGGTCCTTGAGCGTCTTCAAGAGATAGGGACTTGTTGGAGTAGCAGTGTTTAAAGGCTGTTTAAATATATAGCTTGTATTTGTATACCTACCATGCAAAGGTGCCTCATGGTGATACAGTCAGACATCTCTAGCAGGAAAATCAAAAGATGCATATAAAACCAGTCAAGAATCAAAATATTGATCAGACAGTGTCATATTAGCATATGTTAAGATGATGCATAAATAATAAATCAAGGCAAGTTGACAAGAAGAAAATCTGCCAGGCAAAAGTTAGTATTTAGGCCTCAGAGAAAGGGCTTGCAGGCCTCAGCTTAGTACTAGAGGCCTGTTCTGCCTCTCCAGTGCTCTAAGAACAGTTGAATTCTTCCAGAAGAGAACGCCACCCTGGCACCTCCAGCTCCAGGAGACAGCGATGGGGAGAGTGATAACTCGGACCGCGTGCCCGTGCCTAGTTTCCAGAACTCTTTCAGCCAAGCTATTGAGGCAGCCTTCCTAAAATTAGACAAACCATCCACTTCTGACAACCTTCTGGGTAAGCAAAGGGAGACATGCCCATGGTGTGCCTCTGGTGTGTGGTGCAAGTGCAGTTGAGCCTCTGGCAGTCACAGCTTCCAGAGTGTGGCTGTCCCTCCTCCACGTGGCGCCAGCCACGACTGTACTTCGCTTGCATTCCTCTAGCAGGAGTGCGAAGCACTGAAGCACGGGGTGAGGCACTGTAGGCAAGCTGCGTTAGGCCGCCTCCTTTTGCTTAATTTTCAGGCCAGAACCCCGGCAGTGCTGGGGATATGTGGCTTGCTCTCTTGCTGTGACTGTTGTGATGTCATGGGAGCAAGGCTTAGCCAGGCCTGCTGCTTGAGATGCCCAGCTGGCCCTCAGACTCTCCACCCAGAATGCACCCTCTGGAACTGGCTGTGGTCACTTCCACCCCCTCAAGGCCTGGGATGCACAGCCTGCACTTCCATCGTGCCTCCACCCTGGATTAGTTTTCTCTCCACTTCCCTGCACCCATGACCCTAATTCAAGATCCTGATACATGATTGCCACTGCCAGTGAGAAAAACTGATCCAACGAGGTAGTGGAATGGGTGAGATGCGCTGTGCACATTTGTTTCTGAGTCAGCATGGATGTGCTGGTATGCGCAGCTCCTGAACACCTGGCGCCAAGCAGATTGTACTTGCCTGTCTTAGGCAAAGGGCCAGCCAGGTATCAGCCCTGAGGGCTTGCTTGGAAATAGAGACAGTTCCTGTTCCAAAGCCTGGTAGACTCTGGAATGGAGCTTGCAGAGGGAGGTCCTCCTAGGAGGAGTTACAGCTTTTTCTTTCTCAGTGCTGCTGTCTTGATCCTTTGTTTCCACAAATGCCTTTCCATTTGCCCCCTGCCAAGTGGGAAAGGGGAAGCTGAGAGCCCTCCAGCTGTAAACTGGCAGGGTGATCCTTTGTGTATGAAGGCTGAAAAAGGAAATTGCTAGTTGGGAGTAATCCATCTAATTTAGCAAATATGGCTGGGAGGCATTGCTTCTGGAAGTAGCCTAGAACCAGATTCTGTTTTCTTTGCAGAAGAAAAAAGAGGCAAGAAAAAGAAGCAGAAGCAAAAGTTGCTGTTCAGCACATCCGTGGTTCATACAAAGTGATCCTGCTAATGAACAGATTCCTTATCTTGGTTTCTTTTGTTTGCTTTTGTGTTTTTGCTGCTATAGAAAAAAGTATATTAAGTTTGAATGGGAAAAATCTGTTTCTGGGGCTTGGGGGGCGGGATGGATAAGGGATTAAAAATGAACATGTGCTCAATTCACCTGTTGATACCAAAACAAATATTTAATCACAGACCCTTAGCCAACATGTTGGTGTTTGCCTCTTTTTGGAAGCAGGTAAATAAAGATACCATGCTGCAGAATACTCACTGAGTGCTACATTAAGTAGAACCCCTTGCAAAGAATGGTTCCTGGTGGTGAATTTAGCTTCTGTTTCCAGTTGCTCTTGTTTTTTCTCCAAAGGCAAGGACTGCAGGAGGTTATGTTTTGGAGACGCACCTGGATCCAGAAGGCAATTGTGCTCCGCCAGGTAGAAGTAAATCCTGCCTGGGTCTTGAGTGCAGGGCTGGTCTTGGAAGTTACTGTGCTAATTAGATTACTTTGGAGGGATATAAGAAACTTTTTTCCTTTGCACATAACAGCTAGTTTATATAAAAATGCAGGCTGAAAGGACCTGAATGTAGTGTTTACTTGGTTGTGGGATTCAAACTTGGGTTGTATTATGTGCATTTCTGCCATACTTCTCTTCTTACCCTTCTTGCTTTTTTGTTTTTGAGAAGTTGTGTTCATCTGCACTGCTTGTGGCTTGATCCTAATTACTACTAAGGTGTCAGTTCTGTTGAAAACAATGAACTTCAGTGTACTATACCAGCAAAGGCAAATAGTTGCAATAAAACCATATGCACAATGTTGTGTTTCCATAGCCGTGGTTCGCTCTATTGGTATCGAACCGCCCTCTTTCCTTGAAGCCTGTTCATAGTTTCTTCTCTAGCACAGTTAACAGGGATCTTCTATGCAATCCAGTACCTGCTTCACAAAGGACTGTTGTCTTCCTGGTGTGTTTAATTTGGGGGGTGGGGTGTCAACCAGAATAGCACTAGTGATAGAAATCCAGCTGTAGTTATTAACTGCATGAAAGCCTACCATGTCTGATATCCCTGTGCTTTTCTTGTGGTTTTGCCTCCACTTTGCCTCGTTAAATTTCTGGCTTGATCACTGGCAGCTTGAATGTCCACTGCCATGTAGTTTGGGAAAGTGAATAAGAAAGATGTTGCCCCATGGACTGAATAAAGCCCAGGAAGCTCATCCGATCTCATACAGCATGAGCTGCATGCTTTCCAGTATTGTCCTCTCCAAACTACTATCTTTTTTTAATGTGCCTTACTCTGCCTTATTGCAATCCTGTGAGTAAATGCTCTAGAATGTCCTGTCCTTCACAGCCTGAAAGTACATGAAACTGGTTTTGGAATTTTTGAACTTGCTTGGTGCAATCCAAAATGGAAGTAAAATCTTAACAGTTCAGTAATTCCAAAACAAAGCTCATGTATTTCCAGTAGTGCATTGTTAGCATTTGAAAACTTAGGAAATTAATGGCAACCATGGTTATTATGGAGTACTGAAACAGTTGCTTTATTTTTCCTGGAAACAAGCTAAACTTAATTCTCTAAAATTTTGTGTGCAGCCCCACAGGTGTCCACCCCCCCCCAACCTAGACTAAAACAAGTTTAGAGTATTCCTCCTGAAATCAAAGCTATGGTAAGTATAAGCTGCATTGCAGTGATGTGAGTTTAGGAGCCGGAGCTGCTCCCAGCCTTGAAGAGCAGCTTGCAGAGGAATGCTGGCTGTTGTCCCCAGAGGAGGCTTGGTGGGCCAAGGCGTCCTCCCTGCAATAAACCCAGGAACTGTATCGGCACGGTGCTTGCCGTGTGAGGTGCAGAGTGCTGAATGTTGGTACCCTGCAAGAAGGAAGGTGGGTGGCAGGCCTACAGCAGTTTTGTTTGCAGTGCTGGTCCAGGCAGGCAGGCTGGCTGATCACATGCCAAGGGGAAGCCGCTGGCTTGAGGACGCGGCAGCAGAGGGAGGAGGGGCTGGGGAAGATCCAGCTGGAGGCACCCCCGCCATAGCCTGTGGCATCACTTCTGCATAGACAATGGGTGTGTTCACACACCATGCTCAACAAGACTGCATGGTAACTGTGGAACATGGCATCTTGCCTTGTACCCTGACTGCACACATTTGCATGGTGGCTGTGCATGCATGGTTTCCACTCTTCATCTGCAAGTGGTGGGGCATATCCCATCAGCCCTGGCAGTTGGAAATCAACCCCAGGGTGCCTTGTGCCTGCCCACCTGCCCCTGCCTCTTCCTTATTGGCCCACACGCTCCCTGGGCTGTGGCATCAGCCAGCTGCCTTCTGTTTCTGCTGCTCAGCAAAGCAACTTCCTCCTTGTGAGCGCTCTTTGTCTAACAGAGCACTGCAAGAATGCTCCCTGTGCCAACATGCCAAGCGCCCTCCCTCCACATGTGTCCACACACCCCCCATGCCCCAGATTTGCACATGCTACTAGGGGCTGCCTCCCCACTGCAGCCAGGTGCACAAGGCATCAGCATGGGCACCCATGCCAGGAACCCAGGTGGCACATCTGGCAGGGGCATGTGGGCATACACCTGGGAGGTTATAGCAGTGGTGGACTGTGCAAAGTTATGCAGGTTAACAGCATATGCAGTTTTTTCAAAGGGAGTTTGTTTTGTTCATGGAAAACACTCTGCCAGCCCAGGCAGCTCTCCACTGCGCAGTGTGTGTGATCTGTGAGTCTGGGAAAGAGCTAACGTTGCCAAATCCAGCAAACAAGTTGCGGGAGGAAACCGATCGTAACAGCAACTAAGCAACAATTCTTGGGCAAACTTGAGAAGAATGCTAATGATATTAAGGAAATATGCAGAAGTTCTTTGCCATCATGTAGGGAAATAAATGAACTTCGACAGTAGTGACACTCAGGCTGTTCCCTTGTAATGGCAGCAAACCCACGAGTTGCCACAGTACATTTTGCAGCCTTGAATCGGATTGCCATGTGATTACAATTAGTTTAGTTAACTAATGTGGTTCATTTAACCACATTTATTCTTAACCTGTAACATTCAAAATCAGCTATCATACAGCAACTGAGCTGAAATTTCAAAACATGCCACAATCCATGGGTTAACTCACAACATGTCACTGTTAAGTGTGAACCTCCCTGTTTTGTAACAGAATGCAGTTATTCTATAAGCAAAACATCCAATTAAGTCTATCCATGATCATAGTTAGGTCCTAATTTGCAACGTAATCAAAAAGTCTGCAATATTATTTTGGAGTTAACAGTGCAGTGTTATTGTCAGATCAGTGGTGGATACAAAATGATTTTTCAGCAACTATCCCAGTGATGGTGAACCTCTGGCACGTGTGCCCGAAGGGGCAGGCAGAGCCCTCTGTCCGCACCCGATCCCCCAGCAGCCGTGCGCATATTCGGAAAGATTAAGGGCGCCAGGCAACAATGTCACTCATTAGCGGAGCTTTCGCATGGCCGGTCAGTGAGCTGCCAGGGATTTGCTTGGACTGTGATTTTAGCAGAAGGTAGGAAAGGCAGGAAATACACTCAGGTAAGAAATACACTCAGATGCCTTTTGCAGGGCCGGCCAAAAGCTGGTGGTCAGTGGAACGTTTCCCCTTTGTGCTGGTGGTCAGCAAATTCAAGTTTTATTGCAGTGTTGGCACTTCTGCCGTTTGGGCACTCGGCCTCTAAAAGGTTCGCCATCACTGAACTATGCTGTATTGCTTAAATAATTTCTAAAGACTCTCATATATATGCATTTTTAAATGTTATAAAATGCCATACTAAGTTGTGAACATGTGTACATTCAATTTAAATTTGTCATCTAATTTTTACTGGGAAGTTAGAATCACTACTGGGAACATCCATTGTAGTACAGTGGTACCTTGGCTTACAAACTTAATCTGTTCCAGGATTCTGGTTGTGACCCAAATTGGTCATGAGCCAAATTAAATTTCCCCATGAGGTTCAATGTAGGTAAGGTTAATCCGTCTGTAACTATTTTTTTCATCAGAAAAATGTGAAGAAGTAAAGTGACAAAGAACAACAAAGATCCCAACCATCTCCCCGCAGCCCCCAAGCAGGAGAACGGCCATCTCCCTCCCCACCAGCACAACTGGGATCGCGCCCGTCATCCCAGTGCACTCGGGGCGGGGCGGGGGGGGGACGGGCACGATCATGCTGGCGGGGGGAGATGGCTGAGATAGCGGTTGCGCTCGTGCAGGAAAGACGGGTGCACTCTCGGCCATCTCCCCCGCTGCCCCTAGCACGATTGCAGCCATCTCCCCACTCGGGGGGGGGGGGATGTCTGAGACTGCAGTCACCCCCCAATGTGGAGTTCACGACCTGAGTAAAAAATTTTATGAAATTTTTGTTCGCAACCCAATTTGGTTGTGAACTGAGGCATTATGAGCCGAGCTACCATTGTACAAGTGAAAAGTATAAACACTGACTCAGTTATTTCAAAACAGGAGTAGATGTGTGTATGCATTCCCCATATTAGGAAATGCAATGCTAAGCAAGATTTCCACTTGTTTGATTCATATGTTTGTTAGATGCCCATTTTCTAAAAAAAATAAAATTAAAAACCCTTGAGGTGTCTTATGGCAAGAGTTTAAAACAGCTAAAACCAAACACAAACATCCAGGATCTAGTAAAACTATTAGATCATTTTCATTCATTAAGTGTATTGCTTTCAGTCTTCCTGGATGACTCGGTTGGAAGCACTGGCTCAACTCTGCTGTAGCTCTGGCTGAAATAAGGGAATCGTGTGGCTAACGGGGCAGGCTAGAAATTAGAATAAATAAAAATAAGCACAGGACATTACTTGGCAGCTTTATTCCAGCTAGTTTGTGAAAGAAGCCAGTGTAGCATGTGGGAGCAGCAGCTTGCTGCATGCTCTCAAACTGCTTCGGCAAGTCTATCAGGATGGGAAAAACCACAACCGTTCCGTGTCACTGTCCAGTTCTCCCGATGCCGCAGACTCCAAACCAGCCCTCTGAGAGTGCACCTTCTTTGCATGTGTAAGTGGCAGGCAGAGGGCAGTGTGATTTGCAGTGATGCCAGCTCCAGCTCCCAGCAGCAGCAGCCCTTCCTAGGGAAAAGGCACCTCTCCCTGCTCTGCATACAACTGGGACTGGCGGGAAGGTGCTGCTCTCCAAAGCTCAGTGTGAGAAACAGACCTGGCTGCACTGTTCTTTGGTCCCCAGAAAATTACGCTGAGTGGCCACAAAGCATGGTTCACTTTGCCTGCACTTACAGCCCCCTAAAAAGAGGGAAAGGAAAGATCCTGGGGAGTGAGCACCGTGGAAACAGTGTCGGTCCTCCTGCACGAGCGCCTGCACTGCTGCTCAGGCTGTCTCCATGCTCTCATCGCTTTCTTCATCCATACTCTGGAGTGGCTGCTCTCCCACCAGGACACAGCTCTTCACCGACTCCTGGATGGCTCGTCTGTCTGCTGCAACAAGAAAGGAAGGCAACTCGCACCAGATATCACAGCTGACGTGCCTGGCCAGGCCAATGTTCTTTTCCCATGAAGTACCTGCCTGCTGCTTGATGCAGAGGATTCTGGGTAGCAGGGGGTGTCCAGCACTCAGATTTTGCAAGGTGCTGATCAAATCCAGAAGCAGGTAATCTGGTGTCCTCCATGTATTTCGGATTACAATGCCTATCAGGTGCCCACACCTCCTCTCGAGTCTCACTGACGGCGGAGGGCACTCTGGATGGTGTGATGCCTACAGGCAGACGTGCTGGCAGGAGCCTAGCTGACCATCTGGGAGATTTGGTTCACCACAACTGGTTTTCCCAGAGCACATCTGGACAGCCCAGAGATGAGCTGCTTTATGTAAATTAAGGACATGCAGAAACTAGCCCTGCCTTGCCTCCTGTGCACACACTTCAGGACTATAGAACTAAAAACCCTGAAATGCGGCACCAAGAAAAACTGCAGCTAGTACAAATCACACAAGGTAAGCAAAGTTGCCCCTTCTAAGTCACGGAGGAAATGAAAGACCGCAGAGCAGGGTGCACGGTCTTACAGCTGCTGGCCCAGAGTCATGGGAAGGCTACCAGGTCCAGTCCCCCACTGCTGCAGGAAATCATTCCTATGGCATCCCTGCCAAGCACCCACCTGCCCTCTACTTAAAATTGGCAGGGAAAAATCCAGCACCATCCACGACCTTTTGTTTATTTATTATTGAATTTATACTCCACTTAATCGATAGCCCAGCAGGACTCTCTATGCAGATTCTGTTCCACTTCCAAACAGCTTGTATATTCAAGAGGTTCTTCCTCCCATTGGCCACAAGCCTTTTTCGTGAATTTAGAACCGGTTTTGGCTCCAGCAGCTCCGGCAGGAGCACAACACCTCAGGCAAGCCTGGGGGCAAGTCCAGCCCCATATGATTTCCCGGAGAAACCCCCACTTGCCCATGCCATGGGGTGGCTCCTGGGTTTTGTATGGCTTCAGGTGCACCAAGCCTAAAAGGCTCAAGTGCAGTTCCTAAGGCTTCGTGGTGCTACAATGAGCTGGCCGTGTTTGTGTCCCGCCCTGCCCCCTTTGCTTGGCCCCACACCTCTGGAGTGCAGTCCTCAAGAACTCACTCAAAGGAAAAGGTGGCCCTCCACCCACAACAGGCGCAGCAGCTCTGCTCTGCAGCCAAAGAAAACAAGCTTGTTCCATCACCCTTCACAGCTCCTCAAATACAATGGTACCTTGGCTCAAAACTTAATCCGTTCCAGGACTCTGATCGTGACCCAAATTGGTCGCGAGCCAAGTCAAATTTCCCCATAAGGTTCAATGTAAATAAGGTTAATCCGTTCTGTAAATATTTTTTATCACAAAAATTTGAAACAAAGTACAGTACTGTAGAGAACACTAACCTAGGTGGGGAGGAGGTTATTGTTTGGAGGGAGAGTCCAAACGATAATCGTACGATAGCAATCGTGCTTGGGGGGGAGATGGCCATGATCGCACCCATGCAGGGAAGAAGGCGCAATCGTGCAGGGGGGAAGATGGGCACAATGGCGATCGTGTTCATGCGGCAACACGGCTGCGATCGCGGTCGTCACCCAATGCGGAGTTCGCAAACTGAGGCAAATTTTTTCGGAAATGTCTGTTCGCTACCCAGTTTGGTTGTGAACTGAGGCGTTGGTGAGCCAAGGTACCACCGTATTCCGGAGCCTTGTGCAGAACCCCTTGAGCTTCTCAGATTCTGGCAGGCAGCAAGTGCCCCCATGTGTTCCGAGGCATCTTTGCAAGCGTGAGGGTTACACACAAAGTCTCCACAGCTGAGATTTCCTGGGAGCTACATTTCCGTAGCCGCTGCTGCACTCGACAGGTTTTCTGATTCCTGCAGAATAGCGGCATGAGGGGCAGCTCAGCAGGCTGAACTTCCCCAGGTCTAGCAAGAGTAACTTGATGGCCGCAGGCCACTTTGGGCAATCTGGGGAAGGGAAAGTGGTAGCAGGCCTCACAGCCTGTTTGGAGGGCAAAGCTGGGAGGGGGTGGGGTGCTGGGAGCCCTCTGGTGAGGTGCCCTCAGCGGGGAAACCACAGGCGGCTTCCATGCTGCGCTGGTTCTGACTCCAGCCATAAAGTGTGTGTGCTCCAAAGAGGCTCTTATTTTAACTCCTCTGGCCAAGCACTCCATTACCTTCACTGGTGCAGTTCTGCAGGAGCGACAGCAGCTGATCCCTGTTGTACTGAATTAGGAACTTTTGACACGTGCGTATTGTAGCTGGAGCAGGAGAAAAAAGAGATCAGTGAATGCGCAGGCCAAGGAGTATTTGCATTCTAAAGCGGCCGGCCTGTGCTAATCGAGGTAAACCAATTAAAATGAATCCATGAAACAAAATGCTGGAGCCAAGCCCAGTCCTGAAGACTGGCCCTAGTTTATTGACACAGATGAGGGTCCGTAAGTCCACAGCACATGCAAGGAGCACTCAAAACCCCACTCTGCAATGAATTCTCCAATTCCACTGGGATGTTCAGGAGTCACAAGATTTTAAGCAAAGATAAGAGCACATGGAATGGGACCCAGGCTGAACATCATCAGGCTTGGAAGTATAATCAATGAAATGGTCTACCTTTCAGCTTCTGTACTCATATTTTCATACCTATGAGGACTAGAAACGTGTAGAAGCTGTGATTCTAAAGATATGTTCACACACTCAACCCTACATAACCTTGCCTGCAAGCCAGGGGCTTTCCCCTCTCTGGCAAGCTCTTGCTCCCAAGCAACTTCTTAATGCATCATCAAAAATGCGAGGACAGAGTCCACATGGATTTTTTGAAGCCCCAGCTCCAACTTCAGAAATTTGCTCTGAAGTTCAGTGCAAATTTGCTCAGTGCTCTCCCTGCACCCTCCCAGCTGGCATGGAAAGAGCAGTGCCAGCTGCAGCTCTGAGGTCTCAGCAGCAACCCTGGAGATGTGTCTCAGGAACTGGGAGGGGAGGAGGCCGGCTCTGCCAGCACATGCCGCATGATGGGGGCACCTCGCCTTCCTTCTAGCCTGCTCTGGGGCCAAACTCTGGGCTGACTGAAACTGTCCGTCTAACTGTAGTGTGTGGCAGGAACTGCGCAAAGGCAAAGAGCATCCTAGCACCCACGGGATGCCTAAGTTTCGCTGACCCCAGAGGGTTGCAGGCAATGCGCACCCAGAAGGACACAAGCCTCGTTTTTCAAGCAGCCGCATCTCTTAAGTATACCATAACTGTTGAGACGAAGGAATAGCTCAGAAGGTAGAAGGGAAAAAAGGGAGGAAATGCTGCCCCCTCCTTTTCGACTGGCGTAATGGCAGAGCTCTAATTTGAAACTTGTTCTATTTAAACAGGGCTCAGGACAAAGGCTTGGAGAAGATGGGAAAGAAAGTAACAGCCAGGAACTGCCGGTATGCTGGATACTTGGACAGAACCCATATTAAAAGAATGATTTACATCTGAGTAAACATGTATCTATTCATTGCATTCATATCCCACTGTTTCCTTTCAAGGAACTCAAGGTGGCTTGTGCAATTCTCCTCCTTCCAGTGACCGGCCCAGAGCCACCCAGCCGGCCCCATGGCAGAGCGAGACCAGAGCCTGGATGGCACATGACCACCACACGACCCTGGCTCTCTCCGAGTTTCCAAGGCAGTCGTGCATATTGCTCTTCCTGAGCATTAGGGTGCTTCTGTGTTATTCCCCTGCCCCCACTCAGCTCTCTCTCGCGGGCCCGGGCCTGGGGAGCCTGCAGCGCTGGCGAGAAGGTGATGTAGCATCTCTGGCTCTTGTGACACCTGGACTCCTGGAAACGGCACACCTCCGCGGGGGCACCCATGCCAGTACTGGTAACATGTTCAGTGCGGAGCTGCTCTTGAACGGGGCCACACATTTCGTATCTAGACTGCTCTCTGGGCTTGGCCAGATGCAACGCAGCTCTTTTGCCCTTTGCTATCGGAACAGGCCGCCTGCTCTTTCCAGGACAAATTCCAGGTATGGGTTGCTGCCTTTAAAATCCACGAGGGACCCGTGAATGCCACAAGGACTGCCTCCTTCTATGTAAATCGCCATATTATGTAGAAAATCAAACACGATTTATAGAAAACATTATATTGCAGCCTGATAAGCTACTATGCAGAAACAGAACAGCAAACTGAGGAGTTTCTTTTAAGTCATTTTCTGGAGAGTGGAAATTTAGTAGTAGTAGAAAGAAATAGGAAAGAAATGAAGGTGTAAATACCATGCAACCATGGTCCCAGGGGAGGGGTGCACTAGGGGTGGGTGTGTAATATTTTATGTTGTTCTTTCTTTTTATTCTTTATGTATTTTTATATTTGTATCTTTTTTAGTAGTATAAATATTTTTAAAAGCAAATCAATGAAACAAATCACTTCAGAAAACAAGCCAAGTTCTGTTCAACAATGCAAAGCAAGTTTGTTTTGCTTTTTTTGAAGGAAAAAATGGCAGATTTAAGGCTGCAGAGAGCCAACAGGGTTGAATTTAGTTTGTTGGCTCAAGCAAAAAATTTCAGGACATCAGCAAGCAGCTAATGCTACTGGCCTTCAGGCCAGCGCAGTTTGTGTTGGTGCCATGCAGCCCCTGGATGCCGAGCCGCTCCGCCGTGCTAGGGTGGCTTGCCGATGAGCCCCGGTGGCAAAGAGACCATTACAAGACTAAGCACAACATGGACATGGCCCTGTTGCCCGGATGGCCCAAGGCCCCCTGTGGTTGTTTCCTCCTGCACAAAATGGCTTTGCTGTTCTCAACTGCTGGCAACTTGCTGCCACAGGAACAAAGGCTGCCTTAAGAGGCTTCACTGCATGCGAGGAGCCCCCAGGACAGTTATGCTGCCAAAAACAAAAGCGCCCAGAGAAGAGGCTCACCTCCGAGGTGCAGCACGTTAACGGAACAGGGGTAACGCTGGCTCTTGTTTTCCAAGTGAGTGATAAAGGGCAGTGCTGACCAGAGGAGTCGATAAAAGTCTTTCCGGCAACAGAGCAGGACTACTCCCGTGTAGGCATTGAGGTACTTTACTGGGGAGAGAGACAGGAGAGACAGGTGCTTCACAATGGCAGTCAAAGCAGTTCCCTTGCAGAGCCTGAAGCTCAAACGTCATGGCGGCCAAAACGTTATTGGCAGAACTTGAGCCTGTCGCTCTCTTCCTACCTCACCTCCCCAGCAGAGCTGTTGTGAGAAGAAAGCAACGCCACCCAGAGCACCTGACTGGGTGAAATACAAACGCAAATCCCAAGACTCGGACAAGCTGCATTGCGTGCAAACTGTTTTTACACTCATTTCTGAGCACTCCTAGACTCAACTATATTTTTATGCATTTACAAGCTCCGGCTTCACTAACCCCAGTGCCCTCCAGATGAATTCACCCACAACTTCACGCATCCCCAGCCAGCACAGGGAAGGCTGCACTAGCCCAGCCTGCCCTGGGGCAGCTCCCACTTGCCAACTGCCCTGAGGCTTCATTTTATGCCCGCCTAATTGCATCCGTTTCTGGACAACTGCTAAGCAGATCCAGAGCAGCTCTATGACCAGGCAGATTCACTGCCTGAGCTATATAATCTATGAAGTTAGTAGACATGGGCCCGTCATCAGGCCAATGCAGGCCGGGTGCTGCCAAGCTAAACAGAATCCACCAGATGGACAAACATCCGGATTTTGCTGTCTTCCTGGGATTGCAAAACAGGTGCGCTGCCAAGCACCCAGCAGGCCACAGTGTGCGGCTGGGATCTGCCAGATCTGCGGTTACTTCATGATCACTTCTTTTCATCCTGGTATAAGACCAAGTTTTAGATCTCTCCCAAAGCACAGGAAAAGTGTGGCTGTAGCAGAATACTGCAAAGCAGTTTCCCTAGGAAAAGGAAGAAAAGGGAGCCCAGCGCCCATGGCTGCAAAGGCCCAGAAACCAGACCTGCAAAAGCTATGGAGCAGCACGCTAGGCCAAAGTCTCCGTGGATTCTTGCAACAGCACTCTTCACTGCATTGTGCACTGTTCGCTCTTCAATGAGCTGTCGGCAGTGGGGGTCTTCCGAGATGATCTCACAGAGGAAATACCTGCAGAAGCAGAGAAGCTCTGAACACAGGGTTTCTCCTGTGCAGGGAGCCATACTGAACACCAGGGACTACAGAGGAGCCAAGGAGCAACCAGCACACCACAGCCACGCACGGGCCATCAGGCACCAGCACAAGCTGCTGTTTTTAAAAGTGTGGAATTTGTTACTATGGCCGCCTAGTCATCCCTGAACTGTGGGGACTCTATGAACGAATTCCCTCCAGAACGTCCTGTCTTCCAGAGCCCTGCTTGTGCCACAAGGAGGCCAGACTCTCTCGGCAGGCTGGCCTCTGAGCAGGGCCACCCAAGGCAGGATGGTCAAGGCAGAGACACCAGACGAAGACGCACCCACCCAATTCAGCTTCAGCAGAAGAGAACGGCTCTGCCTAATGGCGATGGGGCAGAGAAACCCCTGAAGGGCAGGAGCAGAGGTTGTAGGTGGCAGTGGTGGAGGATCTTTCACAGACAACAGCAATGACACTCAAGTTAATTCTGATTAGCACTGCGGAGGAGGGGGCAAGGCAGACCCCAAGGATTTTTCTTACCTTTAAAGACTTTTCTTACCTTTCTTACCTTGCACCTTTATGATGTACAATCCAGAAGCCTGAATATAAATTTATATTATTATAAATAGATTTAAATTTACAAACTAGCTTGAATCCCACTTGGGTGAGTCTGTGCTCAAGTTTGCACTGCATTTCTTTTCCTTAACAAAAAGCATGTTCATCCCACCACCAGCCAAAGCAGACCCCAGGTTACAAAGATAAGAATTGAGACAGCGGGCTGGACAATTTGCAGCCTTTGAGGTGGTTTTGCCAGCATAGTCAGCAGTGATGAATTTGTGGGCCAAAATGTCTGGAAGGCCACAAACTGCACACCCTCACTTTCCAGTTTCTCAAGTGCCTTTGACCTGTTATTAACAGAAACTTAAATGGGGTTGTAATTCAGCAGTCATGCACCTAACTTACACACAAAAGGGTCCAGATTCAGTCAGTGACGCCTCTAGGTGGGACTGGGAAAGACCCCTTTTCATGAGGCAAATTTCATGCCAGGCATAATCAGGAACGGAATTTAAAATAAAACTTCTCAGACTGCACTTAGAATACTGTGTACAATATAGGTGCAGAGGGTTTGTTGACCAAAAGGTCCGGGTCCCGGTATGCCCAAAACACACAACAGGGGAATATTTTCTTTCAAAGGATTTATTCTCATGAATAACCGACTACCAAGAAATCATTCCAGATGGTACACCTGAGCAGTCCTCAGCTGCTGCTTTTACACTTTGATCATTAAAGGTTACACCTGACTCAGTTAACACTTTCTACCAGGTTACAGAAGCAAAAAGTTACATGATCTTTCTGGCCTGCACTCCAAAGAGAAAAACGAGTCTTCCAAGGAGGGGAGGATGTTATTCTGAGTTGTTGTTGTTGGAGGAGGAGGAGGAGGAGGAAGGGTGGTGTGAATTGCCTTTTGTTCCAGCTGTTATCTGTTAAGTGTCAGTTTGGAGTCTCTGGCATGGCGCCCGGTTAGTGTCAGCTACACTTCAGGGATGTACACACGTGCTGTCTAAGGAAACAGGATTCTTTTTCCGGTCCAGCTGTATGGTGATATTTGCACGAATATATCTGTGTATATTCCTACTGAATAGACCTATTGATCTGTACATCAGGTTTGCTTCATTGGCACTGTTTGGTTTGATCGGCAGAGTAACAATCATCCTTTCAACCTCACGCAACGGATGCAGCCTACCGATACATTTTTCATGCCTGCCTGCTTGCCTGTGAAAATACCAGAAAAGGAAGAGCCAGCGCGCCTATGCCCCGAACGGCATTCCGCGTTGGCAAACAGAGATACTAAAAAGAGTCAAACGCGGGTCCCGCAGCACAGACGGCAGTTATTCAGGAAAGCCGAATCCCCGGGCCTTTTCCATTCCGCTTTGGGGACCATGGTTCGGCCACGCTGGCCTTTTGCAAAACGCTTCAGGGAGCCCCGCTCCGCACCTCGCCCTCCACCGAGGCTGGAGGATAATGGAAGTAAGAGGGCTCGGGATGATGGGAGCTGTAATCCCCTGCATCTGGAGGGCACGGCCTAGGGGAAGGCTGAGTCACCCCTTAAGCGGCCCAACTCACCTGTTCTTGAATCGCACCATCCCGGCCGCCGCGGACGCCTCCTCCCCGACGCGGGCGCGGAAACCATAGAGCTGGAGGGACAGACCTCCGCACTTCCGGGAGCCATGAACGCCCGCCCCCTCTATGCTTCCTTAGAGTTCCCATAGGTTGCGTCGGCAACTCTATGGCAGCAGCGCCTTCTGCCATAGAAATAAAAGGGAGAGCCGGCGCACCGCTTTGACTTCCAGTTCCAACACAAACCCTCCCCAGTACATTTCTCTCGCGGAGCGCAAGGGGAGGAAACTAGGGATCAGCGGGGGCTTCCTCGGTTTCCCAACGGTGCTGGTTTTACCAGCGCCGGAGGCCACCGGGAAGCCACCGATGCAGACGAAGAGGGGATGGTACATCCGCGGGTAATACATCTCAGTTTCTAGACTGCATTTTAGGCATCACAACCTCCGAGCCGCCTTCTCATGGCGGAAGTGCTGCAAAGACCTCCGCCACCCCGTAAGTCTTTCTACCCCGAGGCCGCCTCCTTCTCTATTATCTACATTTCCGCTCACCGGTGCAACTCGCTCGGCCAATGGGAGGGAAGCTTCTAATCACCCCTCCAGCTGACCAATCCGCGCTCATGCCCTTCCTGACCCGTAAGCTTCAGCGTGATTGGCTTTCGCGCCCACCGCAGGGCATATAAAGGCAGCCGGGGCACCCTCCGCCTTGTCAGAGTCGGCGCGGCTGCGATTTGTCATGTGCGCAGCTCGAAGGAGAGGCGCGTTTTGGGAGGGTGGAAAGGGAGCCCCGCGCCCCACCGGGCAGCTGCTCCCGCAGGGCTGTCCCCGGGCCTGGGTGCGTTCGGGAAGGTGCCGTTCCCTCAGGGGGACTGTCTTTGCGGGTAGCGGGCATGGGGCGGGCGAGGGGAGCCGCAGCATGTGTGCAGCTCCGGAGCAGGAGAGCCGCAGTGGGGTCCGAGCCTGCGCCGCGCCGCGCCGGACTGCGGGGGGGAGCGTCCCCGAGGTGGCTGCGCAGCCGCCTCCTGGGTGCCCCTCGCGCGGGAGAGCCCGCCGCCTCCCCGGCCACGGGCTGCCTTGCTGCTCCGCCCCACGGCCAGGGCGTCCCTCCCTGCGCCTGGAGCCCGTGATTGCATGCCCGCCCTGCGCGCTGGGGTGGTCGAGGAGAGCGCTGGCCCCCTGCGTGGCAGCCGGTCCGGTGCCCTCACCGCGCCCCTCCGCGCCGCCTCTTGCGGCTAACCGAGCCCGGCTCTCCCAGGCTTGTTTGCAGCCCGCGAATCACCGTGTCGCCCTCGTGAGCCTGCTCGAGGCTGTCGGCGCCTTCCTTCCGCTGCCTCGGCGCTCCAGCTGCTGAGCGGAGGGGAGCGGTACGGGGCCGCCCCTGCGACTTGTGCCTGGAAGGGGGCTCCTCTGCCGGTGCAGCTGTGTGCGAAGCCGTGAGCGACCCCGTTCGAGCGCCAGCCTCCCTCAGGCTCAGTGTGGGGCCTTTGCCTGCGGGAGTTGTTCTCCGAGGAAAGCGGGTGACAATTTTGAGGAGAGATGGGGAGGGAAGATGTGGGAAAAGTAAGCATAGCTGCTTCCTGGAATGTATTAATTAGCCCTGTTAACTATTTAGTTTTTCTGATGATCATTCATCTGTTTGAACATCAGAACATTTTGCTGTCTTTGGAGTATGATTAACGCTTGCTAGGAGAGCAGAGGAACTGGGGCAGATGCGACCATTGAGAGCCACCCAGGGAGAGGCTCCTCAGCACGTATTCCACCCTTTGTTAGAGTCTCCTTACTAATGGCAAGACTAAACATTCGGACCTGCAGGGAAGATGGAACGGCCTCGAACCCCAGTGTTTTTATGGGTGCGATCACTCAGGCCCCCTGCACGTACTTACAGCAGCATGCTGTGGGGTAACGGGCCTCACAGCCAACTGCAAACTTCCGGAACATGGTGTTTTATAGGTTCTGATTCACATGACATGGCAGGAGGGTGCTGCTGCTGCTGTTAGTTGCGAAGTTATGTCGGACCCACAGCGACCCCATGGACAACATCCTCCACTGCTGTGTCTCAGGACGGCTTACAAGATTAAAAGCAAAACCATAGAATGATCACTATAACAGTATGATGCAATAAAATTATCAAAACCAGTATAAATAAATTCAATCGAAACAAAAGTGACTGTAAAACAGTAAAATACTAATTTTTAAAATAACGATTAAATAAAAAGGGTTTAACCTGGCACCGAAAAGGGTATAGGCTCAGCGCCAGGCAAACCTCACTGGGGAGCATATTCCATAAGCTGGAGAGAAGGCCTTGTTCTGAGTAGATGTCCTTTTTACCTCCTTTAGGAAGGGTTCTCAGAGCAGGGCCTCCCCCACAGATCTTAAGGGGCATGGCGGCGTATACGGAAGGAGACATTCCTTCAGGTATCCTGATCCCAAGCTGTTAGCCCAAGAATAGCCAGGGGTTAACCTTCCTTGGGAGCCCCACTCTGCAAAGGCTTTTTCCAACCAAAGGTAGCAGCCATCTCTTAAAGGAACAGCTTTGAAAATAACACTAGACAGATGCCTGCCTTGGGGTTCTGGTACTTACTGAGAAAGAGGCACAGAGATGTGACAGGTTTGATTTTGTAACACAAAGGCACATATAAGCAACCTTTTCCTAGCAGGATTTATCTGAGTTTGCCCAACATGGTCTTCTCCTCCTTGGCTTCCTCCAGATGAGTTGTCCTACGATCCCCAACAAGGTTTCCAGTCAACTAACCCAGGTTGTTGGGAGATGCATTCGACTCACCAGGAGGGCTGCAGGTACGCATGGCTCCCCGGGGCTTTGGCTGCCTGGACTTGCCAAGGGCTCCCATCAGAGGCTCTGGCTATGCTGGCCATCGTGGAAAAAGGGGAAAGGGCCATCTTCTCTCTTGGGCAGAGGGCAGAGGGTGGGAGGCAGCAGTCTCGGTGCTCCCAGGTGGAGGGTTCGAAGTGCAAACTCTCAGGCAGCTTTGTGTGGTCATCCTTTCTTACGAGGTATTCAGCTTACAAAGAGCTGCAAAGGCCAGTGGGAAAACGGGAGGGTGACAAGCGGCACTCGGCCTCCCTATAAAAATCGCATGAATGCGGGAAGACGGCACTTGTCCTGCCCGGCAGCCAAAGCGCTCTAGCTGGTACGGAGACCCAGTGAGGAATCGAAACCGGGGCGGGTCTGCAGTGGGACTGGTGCTTTTCATGTGCTAAGACTGGATGTGGGTTGGGGGAGCACTAAGGGCTCCGCACGTAGCGGCAACACCAAAATACTGAGGCTGCTTGACTCAGTTTCCTTTTTTGCTGGATGACCTGAATGGACTGTGCGAATGCCGTGGCCATAATCTGCCGAGACTTTGGCAGAGCGCTTGACAGCATGTCTCACCAAAGCAGCGAAAAGCGAGCTGGACGGTGCAACCACTGGCAGATCCACGCCCGGCTGCACAGTTGGGCTCCAGGCGTGCTCAGCAATGGCGCTCGCAGACTGGGGGGAGGTGGCAAGCGGGAGCCGCGGGGCTCTGGCCTGGGCCCAGTGCTCGTCAACGTTTTAGTTAATGATTTAGATGAGGAAGCACAAGGAAAGATCATTATATTTGCAGTTGACATAGTTGAAGCTGGGTAGAAGATGAAATACCCTGAAAGACAGAGAGAAGATGCAGGGTGATCGCCATAGATTAGAAAGCTGGGCAGGGAACAACAGAAGGGCATCCAGCAGGGACACATGCCCAGCCCTCCACTTACGCAGGAGCAAGACACCAAATGCATCATTACAAGGTGGGGAATACCTTGCTCAGCAGTGCTGCAAAGGAGAAGGATCTTGGGGTTGCTGTAGACCATGAACTAAATATGAGCCAACAATGTGCTGGCGCTGCAAGGAAGGCACACAGTCTTTGGGGCTGCGTCCACAGGAGCGTCTCTTCCAAATCGCATGAAGTCCTAGTTCTCCCATACTCGGCACTGGTCAGGCCTCACCTGGAGTCCTGTGTCCAGTGCTGGGCGCCGAAGTTGTAAAAAGATGCAGAAAAGCTGGAAGGGTACAGAGGAGGGCAGCAAGGATGAGTCAGGGACTGGAAGCAAAGCCCTGTGAGGAAGATTGCGAAAACTAGGCATGATCCGCCTCGAGAATTGCAGACTGAATGCAGGACACAAGAAGAGAGCAGATTTAGACCAGGCACCGGGAAGAGTTTCCTGACTGTCAGAGCAGTACGACAACGGAACCGGTTACCTGGGAAGGTCGTGGGCTCCCCCCACTAGTGACATTCAGAAAGTGACTGGGCAGCCCTCTGGACAGAGGGGGAGGGTGTAAGGCGGTGTCCTGCAACAGCAGCAGGTTGGACTCGATGGCCTTCTGGCCCCTCCCAACTCCACTGTTCTGTGATTCTATGGCACAGCAAAGACTCCCAAGGGATCTCACAGAAGGAGGGTGCTAAGCAGGTGTGCAGGGCAGGGCAAAAAGCAACCCTGTCTTCATGAATATGCTGAGCTGCGTGAAGCGCCTGTGGGTTGTTGGGGCAGCCTGACGACAGTGCGGTGCTGCATGCAGGCCACTTGGTGTTGGGGGTTGTTAGGAGTCCAAATTAAAGACTGCCAATATCATGCCACCTCTGGGGCAAGCCATGTGGGCCGCACCCGGAATGCTTGTAATCTTCTGATCACTGCAGGACAAAGATACTGCTGATTTGCAAAAGGCACAAAAAGTGCAACCAAAATGATTAAAGATCTAATCTCCACAACAGCAGGAAACCAGAGAAGCTGACCTTGTCCAGCCAGCGTACCTTAGTTTAGCCATTGCTTTTCCCAAGCACAGACTTGGAAGGTTTTGAGGAGAGAATTTCTAACAGGTCACTTAGACATTGTCTGTTAACCGTACCTTCACCTCTGAATTGTGCTGCAGGGCCTATTCTTTACACCAAGGAAAGAAGAGAATCCCGGTCCTCACCATATCTCAAGGTGTGCCATAGTTTTAAGCAAATTTCTCTCCTGTCCAGCTTACTGCTGGTCTGGGGAGTGAGCTAAATTGGTGTGTGCACGCAGACAGGTGGTAGCAGATGGACAGTGAAATTTTGATTTTCCTTTCACAGCTGCCAAAATGAACTGAGCTGGCTCAGCATCTCCAGGGTTCAAACTTGGCAGAAGTCAAAAGTGGACCTGCCAATATTCCACAGAGTGTTTTGCAAAATTTCCAAGCATTTATGTAGCACCTCCCCTCCCCCACCTGCAGCTGCAGAAGGACGGGGTGACTGCCATCATCCATGTCTGCAGCAAGCACAGGCGAGCTGAGGGTGGACGGGTAAATGAGGTTCCTGGCAGGAAGCACCGTCCTAGCCCTGGGGCGCCACTCTCTTTTCCATTCCTCTAAGGCCACCAGTTTTCTTTGGGAAGCTGTAAACAGCAAATCTCATCAGGTGGCGGGCAGTGCACACAACCCTCCCACAAGCGAAGCAAGAG